AGTGGATACCCTGGTGTATTGGGACAGTTGGTCATTTCACAGCACAAACACTGGCATGTTTCCTTCTGCTGAGAAGCAGGCTGAAGCCTCAGCCCCAGGGTCATCTGTCACCCTTCCCTGCCTGCTTTCCAGGCTGCAGTCAAACTGAGTCTCTATTTTCAAGGCGCTCAACCATCCCACTTACCTTCCAGCTTGGCTCTGCTCTTCCCTCTGGCAGGAGCACTTCCTTTCTGACCGAAGGTTCACAGGTGCTGCGGGTGTACCTGCCTCCTCTTGGCATTTGTCCCGCTGTGTTCTAAGTATCCCTAAGGTGAACTCTAGCATGGCCGAGACCAGATGTGTGTCTTTCACTGTTTTGTTTTGTTTTTTAAAGATTTATTTGAGGTAGAGTAGGAGGGGCAGAGAGAAGACCAAGCAGACTCCCCACTGAATGTGGAGCCCAATGCGGAGCTCCATCCCAGGACGCTGAGATCCTGACCTGAGCCCAAACCAAGAATTGGATGCTTAATTAACTGAGCCACCCAGGTGCCCCTTTTATCACTGTTTTATCCACAGAGCTTAGCACAATACCTGGTGCATAGCAGTCTTCCAACATAGGCTTGAGGGATGAATGAATGATTGAATATATGACTGAATGAAAACATGAATCGAAACAGGAAAACCTCATTAAATTGGCATTAAAACGTCATTAAATACAGTTCCTGGTAACGTGAGGCCTTTATCCCCTCCACGCCTTCTTCCTCTGGCAAGTTTGGTTCTGTTTCTGCACGTGCTTGAGCAGGACAGTAACTTGCAGTCACCATGGCTGCGATTGCCAGAGAAGGGACCCTAGCCGCTCCCCACCGAGGACAGCCCTGCACTGCTCCCACGCAGAGAGCCTTCCATCCTCCCGGCCCACTGGATGTGCATCCAGGCACAGCCCTAGTGGGTTAGGAAGAGCTGAGTTTCCCTGTCAGCTGCGATGAAGCAGCTCATTTTCTTTTCTTTTTTTTAGAAGCTCATTTTCTACTATTTTCCATAAACATGAGGTATCTGGAAATTACACCAGTAGGTGCACAAATCCGAATTTGGCCCATCGCCCACACGTTGCCAATGTTCCACTGCATGAGATTGCAGTTACGGGAGCAAAGATGATGCTCGCACACTCCATGTGCCTTCCCCAGTGATGACATAGCCTTTGCTGTGGATGACCCAGAATGTAGGAGTGCAGTGCAGCCGCAGAAACGTGCTAGAATTCCCTGGCCCCAAGACTCCTCATGGCAGCGGAAGGAATTGGACTGAAGTGAATAGGCTGGTTGCCACTTGCTGTGGTAGCTTCCCTGCTTCCCATGTTTGGAGGAAGTAGAGAATGCCACCGCTCACCATCCCAGACCCGGACACATACGACACACACTGTCCACACTGCCTGTCGCTTTCTTGCTCTTGCAGGAAAGCGAGGAAGAAAATGCCCCCTTCCTACCCAGTGTTTGGCTTCATCAGGCTCCACACTCCTGGGACCTACTGAGAAAAGGAACTGGACCCATAGTATCTGGAACAACAGCCTAAGAAGGGGCCTGACCAGGAGTCTGGGAGCCACCAACCCTCCTTCCTTCCCGATGTTCCAGAGGTTTGTGTAAGGAATACTTGGGAAAACCGTGGATGCCGTGCACACCTTCAGTAGAAGGCCTGCTAAGGAAGCCCCCGTGTCCCCACTCGCCTGCTGTCAGATGCTCTGGCCTGTCGGGAAGTTGCTCTGGCTTTGGCCACTTTCTCCTATAGGCTAGTCTGGCCTGTTTCTGAATCAGCTCTATGCTGACCCTTGCAGATGAAGAGCATCACTTTGTGATGGGGGAAGGTTTGTGTCTTGCTTGTGGACAAAGAGCTGTGCTGATGTTGAACCCATTTTCAAAGGGCCCACATAAGGGGACTTGTGAGCCTTGTTTGTAGGTCTGTTTTAACCCAGCCAAAGAGGTTAGGACAGTAAATGGATGACCTTTAGATGGTTGGCATAGGGTTCTACCTTACATGTTGATAAGGATATATAAAGTGACAATTCTAATTTCATATAAAATCAGTATCAGTAAATGGTCTTCTGTACACACACTTTGTGTAACTACATATACTACTTAAAAGTCATGAAACTGATTACTACTCAGCCTTAAAAAGGAAGGAGGCACTGTGGTACCTGGGTGGATTTTGGGGACTTTATGCTAAGTGCGATACACCAGTCACAAAAGGACAAATACTGTGGCTTATAGGAGGTCCCTAGTAGTCCAGTTCATAGAGCCAGAAAGTAGAATGGGGGTTCTGAGGGGCTGGGGAAAGAGGGTGGAGAGTTAGTGTTTAATGGGCACAGAGTTACAGTTTGGGAAGAGGAAAGCGTTCTAGAGATGGTGGTGAGGGATCTGTGAATGTACTTAATGCCACTGGACCATACACTGAAAAATAATGATAAAATGGCAAATTCTGTTATGTATATTTTATAATTTAAAAAATCCATGAAAATGGCAAGAAGACTAAGACATGAAAAATATATTGACACACAGCCATTATTAGTAAATTGGTAACTTTTTTTGATAGGAAATTGAGTTTATCACTCATAATAAAAAAGCAAACACATTCCTGTAAATTAAGTGAAAGCAAAAAAAAAATATATATTCAAATGACTTTAGATGTGTACAACTAGGAAGGAACCTGCTAATTCTAAAGAAAGCCAAAGTTTAGCATTTTGGTTTATTTGCAAGCTTAAGTGAACAGTTGACTGTAAATCGGCAATGTATTGAAAAATACTTTAGAAATAGTTGTGGGAGTTGACACCGTGCTGGCAGCAGAGGTGGGAGGGGTGGTGGGCAGCCCCTGCTATGCTAATTTTATTGTACACACTTAGTGCTCTAGGTAAATCTCTGACACATGCGGATGAAAAAGGTAGAGGCTGGGATGAGTCAGTCAGATGGGTACCAATGGTGCCACACACTATGTATTGAAGCTTACGAGGCTACTGAGATGAGGCTGGGTATCTGCCTCCCTAGCTTAGTTGGGGACACTAAATGAAAAACTAGTCAAGTGAGACAAATGGACTATATTCACTAGAGGAAGATGACCCTAACCGTAAAGGACTGTGGGAGAGCTAGGGCACAGCCTGAGATCCAAGAGCCTCTGGGGCCACATTTGGTCTCAAAGGCTGGACCATACCCACTTCACTCCTCTGCCCTGATTTCCCGAAGGATCCCCAGATATCACCCAGCTCCAGCTCCAGTCTACAGATGACGCCACCAAGGTCTAGGGGATGTGACCAGCCAAGGCCCTCAGCTGGGTGTGTCAGAGCCCAACAAGACCCAGGGTCCCTGGAGTACAGTGATGACATCTTCCTTTCGCACCTGGCCTGTTGAGCTGCACGTGGTGCTTCTGGGCCCACTTGCCACATGTCTCATTTAACTAATCTACAGCTCTGGACTGCAGACTGAATTATAGCTATTTGTTTCCCTTCTCTGGCTGCAAGCTAAAGAAATGCAGGCTTCATTAATTCCCATGCTTATCACTGAACAAGGCATTAACAAGCTTTTAGATGGCGCTCCAGCCATTTAACGTTTTTGAGGTGAAAGGGCCTCTAGTCCATATGGTCTAGATTCTTGTACATTTTCATTTCAGATGCTAAGGCTGACAGATCTGCTACAAGCAAATGGGGTGTTAGTTGGTATCTAATTAATCTAACACAAGTCACAGCCCATTTCACGGAGTCAGGCACCAGTCTTTGCTTCTACCAACAGCCACATTTAGGACAACAGTTTACACTCTTTTTCTCTGTCAGCCACTTGGCCTTGTAATATTCTGGTAGGCAATGTGAATCTACCACTTTGCCCTTTCTAGTCGGGTTTGTAAGCTTAAGGACCCACTCATTCATTCATTCATTCATTCAGAGACAGCATATGATCAGGACAGGGAGGAGCAGAGGGAGAGAGAGAATCCCAAGCAGGCTCCACATCCAGCATAGAGCCCAATGCAGGGCTCGGTCTCACGACCCTGAGATCATGACCTGAGCCAAAATCAAGAGTAGGATGTTTAACCGACTAAGCCACTCAGGCGCCCCTATGCACCCCACTTTTAATCTTCAATATGCTAAGAGCCACAGGATCCCAATAATACAGAAAAAAGAGGATATTAAACTTGTTGCTTCATGACTTTCTGAAAGTGGCAGCACCACTGTTTGAATACCCCAGTCAACCCTGGGTTGATTATGGGTTTTGTGGTTGGTGGAACACTGGGAGGGTAACGCTGTCGGCAGGGACTAGAGTTCTTGATTTTGTCCTCACAACAAAATCACCCACCAACCTGTGCCTCAGTTCCTTCAACCTGAGATACAGATGACACCTAACATCTCACCTCTACTATCAGCCACACGTATTTGGAATTTACCAGCCCAGCCGGCATGCAGAATAGGGTTAGAGCACAGCCTCTCCTCAGGGCTGGCACAGCGCCTGGAATGAAAAAGAGCAACCAGGGAACACATGGTGAAATTCATTCCACAGGGTTTCTCAAAGACCTGCTATAAACAAAATTCTAGGGATGAAGTAAAATTTATTTATTTATTTATTTTTTTGAAGTAAAATTTAAAAGGTGAAACAAAGAAATAAAAAAGTTCTATTCTTTGAATATGTTCAGAGTTAGAAATATAAGGGCCACAGTCTTACTTAAAGGGCATTTGGCTAAAAGATGAAGGATGTGAGAAGTTACCAGAAATCTCCTCTGCTAAATTCCTTATGGCATGATGGATGCAAAGGTAACAAATGTCAAGGGGCACCTTGAAAATATGCAGGAGATAAATTCAGAAGTAGATCGTTTAAAATTCAGTAAAGTAATAACAAAGAATTTAAGGGGCGGCCAATGCAAGTCCCCTGCAGGTGCTGGGAGGAGCCATAAGGTCCAGGTAAGTTCCAGAACACCTTTGGCTAGATATTGTGCAAGTGGAAACCATCACTTCACCAAGATAATTTTTATTAAAAAAAAAAATTACAGAAAGAACAAAGAATTAAAAGAATTTTAATAAAATCAACAAGTTTACATTTGTACATTTTGTGTATTTGGGACCCAACCAGGGGTGAAGGATAAAGTTGCAAGGACACAGGTTTCCACAGGAGAGCAAGCAAAAAGGAAGGGCTACCCTAGTTGTGTGACGGGTATCAATTTGACGGTGTAACCCCATGGCCACCTGAGCTGCTCTGGACTCCTGACATAAGCAAGCATATTTACCAAGCTTGTGGGCATGAGCTTTTTGGCTCTGACCTCAGGCCATATGCTCCACACCCTACAGGACACTCCCACATTAATATCTGACAGGCAACAGCGGAGAAACAGTTCATAAAATTCAATAGTATTGCCCATAGAATATTAATGTCAACTGGGTTCAGTTCATGCTGTTTTAACTAGAATGGTTACATAGGACCTAATGAGGGGAGAAAGGGGCTGAGCAATGTTCTAATTGTTCTATTCAATGTCACAGTCACAAAACAGCAGGCCTTTAGAAAGAACCATGTATTTATTTTAAAAATCTGATTTGCGAAAAGGGCCTGTGGGAGTCAGAGAAAGATGGGAGCAAGGTATGATTTTGAACACGGGAGATGACTGAACTTTAATCCCCGTCATTCTAAAGGATGACAAACATTTCAAAAAAATGACCAATGTTCAGAGAGAGCAGAGACTAGTGTCCCCAAGTTAGGAATGAGCAATCACAAGGCGCTCTCCAGATTTTACCCATTTTGTGTCCAGTGAAACAGTGCTTTCAGAAGTGTGATACTGCATGTGCCAGGGACTTCTTCTTTGAGGAAGTAATGCAATCTCGTCAGGTATAATGATAACGTGCACAGTAATACGACCATTCCCTAACAGTCATCCACAGGGTCAAACTCATGACTGGGCTGCGACTTCATCCCTGTTGACATAGTATGGGGTTGAGTTACCAGGAGAAGTTCTTCATCATTTATTCTTTAGATGGAGACACAGTTAGGGAAGAATGCAGGGGTGCCTTCGCTTTCTTGAGCCACTTAGAATCACAGAAGGAAGAAGAATACTGACCATTATTAGTACAGACAAACATGGTTTTGAGAATGGACCATGAGCTTTTCTGCCCCTGTTCGGCAAGGCTGGGGCCGATGCAGAGAGGCCATATTCCAGGGTCCTCTCCTGTGACACATAACAAGCAGGTGCTTGCTTTCCCAGCATCACGGCAGGGGTGAGGGGCACAGTGTTTAGTGTTAGTTCGTAATAGAATCATTCATCCCAATGAAGAAATTTCAAGAGAGGGCAGTGAAATAAGAATAGCTTCAGCTTCTCTGCGATGTTTGGCAGAAACACACAGCGAATCCCCGGTCTGTGGTGAGCAAGAGGGACTCTCCTGTGTATTCAGGAAACCTCAGAGCAGGCGTTAAAGTGCTGGGAGGTAAGGCAGCCTGACTGGACTTCCTCATCGGGGTGTGCAGAAGCACCCGGCAGGAAGGGGTGACGCTGTGGTCATGGGTGGGGGCAGCTGCCACCCATGGCCTGCCCCGCTAAGGGTGCGAGGTTAAAACTGGCCTCTCGTGAAATGCTGCTCGGCTTGTGCTCATAACATTTCCCTTTTCATTTCCCGAGTGGTCAGTTGGAGGTACATTTTAACAAGAAAAAAATGTCCCTAATGGATATGACAGATGAATTTCTAAATGCGAGAAAAACTGCAGAGATGACGGAACTTCAAATAAAAACCATTAGTTAAACATGTCAATCGCGGTGTCTCGAATCAGCAGGTGGCAGGACAGCACAGGGACGGACAAAAGATACCCGGGCCCCCGCCTGCCTCCCGGGGGCTCCTGTCTGCTGTCCTCTCACATGTGGGGCGTGCAGCTTCCCTCCTGGGGCTCTCGCACTTTCCAGTGGGTCCTTGCTGGTGCAGCAGCCAGAAGCACGGATATCCCCGGGTGAGGGTGCTCGGGAAACAAGGCAGACCCTTCAGGGGTTGGTGGCCAGGTGGGAACTGGGAAAGAACGAAAAGCCTTTCCCCAAGGTGAGCCGTTTCTAAGGGCAAAGGCAAAGCCCCCGAGGTGATCCCAACACAGACAGCACCCCCACCCCCTGAGGCTGTGCTCCTCACCCTGCTGAGAGAGCTTCATCTCCGTGCCACCCTGAAGCAAACGTTTCCAGTGCCAAAGCATATCTGAAGACCGGGGCGCTGGGGAGGGGGAATCCAGCTGGTCTGGACGGCACAGGGAAGGCTCATTTGTCTCTCGAAGCAGACATTTCTTTGGGGTGACTATGTCCCGGGGTGGGTGAACCCTGACGTGTCTCTGTTTCCGAGGTTTTCCGCGTACATTCAATGTGGAGTGGTCAGCAGTGAAGAGCCCCTGTTTCACGTTGACTCAAGTCTCCCCAGCGCCCAGATGTCACTCCTTCATCTTGGCTGACACTAGTGCAGCGGATTTCCGCTCTCTGCACCCAGCAGGCTTGGTAAAGAACTCAGCGTCCTCCTCACGCCCTCGGTGAGACTTTTCAGGTCCGAGTGCCAGGGCCGGGGGAGCTGGGGTTCGTGTGTCTGCTGGCGGCACAATGGGTGTGGACGAGCCCACCATTTGGATATCTAACAAATACAGGCTCACAAAAGGGGTTTTGGCACATCTGGCAGAGCTTTTTGTCCGAGAGCTGAACTGAGCTTCCCTTCAACTTCATCTGCAAAAAATAAATAAATAAAACAAAGGAGAGAGAAATAAACACCGAGGACCCTGTCATCTAGAGTGACACCAGAGCACATCTGCGTTACCCTGTGGATTGTTACTACTCCTGAGGACTGCTTTCACATCAACCTCTCAAAACAGAACACTAGAGGTGAAAATTAACAAAAATGTCCCAAGTAACTGGAGAAGTAAAAAAAAAAAAAGCTATAAAACTGCTTTCTTATTTTACAAATGTACTTCCTATTTGCTTGGTCAAGGCATTGCTAACTAGACCCTCTCTCAAACATCTGGTGCAAAGTCCCACTGTGTCAGAGCTGAGGAAGGCCAGACAGATCATCTAATTCTCTGGTCCACTCATTTGCAAACAAGTCAAAGCCATATGGTCGATGACTGGCACGGTCCTCCCTGGTCCTGGGAAATATACTCTCATCTGTTTAAAGGTAACTAACAAAACTGGGCTGTACCTCCCTCAGACGCTGTTTGATAAACAGGACAGTAGTTCAGCAAGTTAAAAAAGCCTTTTCGCACAGTTCACTGGTGTTAGCCCAGGCAAGCACCCTGTACTCAGTTTCATCAGTCCTTCAACAAGCATTTCTTAAACACCTTCGAGACGCCAGGTTTGGCTCTAGGGATACCAAGATAAACAGAAGAAGTTCCCTGCCCTCAAAGACCCCAGAGTCTAAGAGTGAGGGCGACGGTTATGGACACGGGCACGGAACATGCAGGTAGACAAAGGGGGGAATTTACCTGCTTGAAGGGACATGAAGGCTTCAGAAAGGAAAAACTACTAAGACTGGGTTTTGAGTGGTCAGTCACCAGGCTCAAAAGGAAAGGTTAAGAATATCTCAGAGGGAACTGCAGGTACAAAGGCTGTGTATGTGAAACAACACATGACATCAGGGAGGTTCCACGTGTCCTGGGGAAGCAGAGAGAGGTGAAGAGGGCCAGGCCAAAGGAGAGGAGAGGGGACTTTCCAGGCCTCAACTCCTCCCCTGGAGAGTCATAAAGGCTTCTGCATGGGAGAACCATGTCAGGTTCTCACTCAGGAAAGATCCCTCTACTGGGCGCATGCTGTCCAGCATGTCCTTCTCTAACAGGGGAGAAGAATGGCGCCCTCCAGCCCAGCTCCCACCTCTGCTTCCATGCACCCCAGTTTCTATGTGAGGTGAATCATGTGTCCAAGGTGTCGAAGATGCAGAAAAAAAAAAACTGACAAAGAATAACCTTCCCAGATAACTACCTGAAATACAACGGCCCCAGGGGCGATGGGGGGGCGGGGGGATGTCAAGAAAGTTGGCTCGGCCACCAGGGCCTGGCACTCACCTTGTCATATTTATAGATCAGGTTTTCAGACTTGGCCAGTCCCAGAGCCACCTGCGTGGTCCTGCGGGCATGCACACTGTTCCGCACAGCCCCAGTCAGGAACGGGCGCAGGAGCTGCACCGACCAGCCACCCGGCAGCAGCTGCAGGACCCGGGCGGCATCAAAGTTGGCCGCGTGGCGGTTCAGTAGGTCGGCGGCGGCCACAGCCAGCTCAGGTGCAGCGGGGCCAGGCTGCAGGTACATGGCCAGCAGCGTGTGGAAGAGGCGCTGCCGGTATGACGGGTCCCGGCCCTCGGAGCGCCACAGGCAGTAGTCCTCGGCTGCGGAGAAGTCCTGCAGCTCGTGCACCAGGATGCGCAGGGCCTCCTCGTGCTCCTCCAGCTTCCCATGCAGGATGGCGCTCTCCATGGGGAGGCCAGCACCCCGGATCCTGTCTGTGCAGCAGCAGCCTGTGGTCAGAGCCAGTCCCAGCCTGCCCACCCCATGCCCTCCTCTTGAGAAAGGGCAAAGCACACTTGGCTACCTAGACGGTTCATACAAGGCTCGCAGGTACCCCCATGTTGCAGATAGGGGTGCTCCCAGTGGGGCAGCCAGGCCCTACTTCTGGGTAGTGCCTAATTGCAGAATACATATTTTTAATAATGCTTAGTGACTGAACAAAACAAATGACCTGTCATCTCAGCAGGCCCAAGTGACACATAAGCATCACGGCTCCAGGCTTCCTATTAATCCAGCATTGTTCCTATTTTCCCAGTCTGGGAACTTTCAACGACAGCAGAAAGAAACTATACTGATTTAAATTCAGACACTAACCATCCCTGGCAAAAAATGTGTGGTGAACTCCTTTATTCCAATTTAAACTATATTTCACATAAAGTAGTATGGGTTCATGTTGTCAAAAATCCCTATCTACGTTACTCTACAGCTCTTCTTTTGTTTCTCCTGCATTCAAGTTTTTAGGCTATAAGTAAAATGGCACCATCACAGAAAGTTCTGCCCAAGGCCCTGCCCGTCGTGGGCTGTGTCTCATGGAGAAAGAGGCCCTTTGCTTTCCAGTCCCCCTGTAACACAGGAAGATAATGGGACATCTTTTCCTGCTGTGAAAGATATTTCAGGGCCCAACATTAATACTCAGATTATAGGCCTCCCGCCTTTGGAGCTTGACCATACTCAGGCCGGAAGCGCATGGCAGACGTGCAGCAAAGAACTGGTTGTACCATGTACGCCACCCAGGGAACTAAACACAGAAGCTGCAGTGTGCATTCTTGTCAGACGCGTGAGGAACGGTCACCAAATAATTACTAAGTGGCTACCATGTTTAAGGCATGGGACAGATGCAAAGATGGTTAAGAAACCACATCTGCCAAATGTCATCCTGTTTATATGAGATTCTTAGCCACCCCGAAAGGGCAGGCTGCATAAGAATTATCATCACACTGTGCCCAGGCTGGCCACCCCCAAGTCACCTATCATGGTAAACATGCCGACTTGGGCCTGGCACATACAACCAGTCCTCGTGATTCACAGATCCTATATTCATGAATTTGCCTGCTTGTCTAAATTCCTAAATAACTCCAAAATCAGCAGTTGTGGTGCTTTTATGATTATTTGCAGACATGTGCAGGGTGGCACACAATTTGAGCCACCTGCTACGCATGTTTCCCACTAAGGTCCCGTCAGGCAATCAATGTTCTGTCTTCTAGTTGCAGCCCTTATTCTGCAAACAGTCCTCTCCGTGGTTTATTCAGTGCCACAATTTTTGCATTTTTGTGTTCTTTTATTGGTAATACTGCCCCTTAAAATGGGCCTCCAACACAGTGTTGAAGTGTGGCCTAATGTTTCCAAGCACGGGCAGGTTGTGATGTGCCTTGTGCAGAAAGCGTGTGTGTTAGCTAAGCTTCACTCAGGCCTGAGCTAGAGTTCTGTTGGATCTGAGTTCCATGTTCATGGATCAACAATACCTATTAAATAAGGTGTCTTTACACAGAAACACTCATAAAACAAGGGTATGTACTTCTTGGCTGATGAAAATGTTGTGATCAGCAGTTTGCAGGAACCTGCCTCTATGTTTCTCTGGGAGAATGGTTCAGTGTCCATGGAGACTTTTTAGAATATAACTATGGTGAATAATGAGAAGTGACTATGGTTAATGGTTAAAAAACAGTGTCAATGCTGTTAAGCAGAAATACACTATTAATCCCAGTAAGAACAAATCTGAAAATTCTACGATGTCAAATACATTAAGAAACTCGTCAATTGTACCAGGCATGGGCACTGTGCTGCTCATTTGTGGCGCTTTCCACAACACAAAAACCATGGGCTGTGCACCCCAAGGAATGAAAACTAGGCTCCCATCCAAGATACCTGCATACCTTCCAACGGCTCAGGGCTCGGAGCCTCACGCAGCCTGAGTGGGCTGCTGGGGGCAGTGCCAGCTGGCACGGTCTCGCCCAAACACTGGTGCCATCAGAAGGAACTATGATTTAAGCACACCAAAGCCAAATAAGGCAGTCTAAATGATGTGATGCTCAACAAGTAACACAGACTTCCAAACCCAGTGGGGCAGCTTTATGTCACCGACCAAAGGGCCAATGTCTGTTTCTTCACTCTGCCCTCCAGGAAGGCGGACTTTGTGCCAAAGGAGGCTCAAGGAATCACCCCATGGACTCAGGACAAAGAGCTGTGCCAGAGCCTTCATTTGTTCCCACCCTCCCTGCTGGGTGCAGTGGATCAGGGAGAGACTAGTGGGCTACTCCTCACCTATCAGGATGTGGACTCGGTATAGATCGGACTTCTGGAGTAGGTGCTGGAGCTTCACCTGTGTCTCTGTCGCTTCCACACCTTTGCTGTTGGCGCCGGACCTCTCCTGCAGCACCTTGTCCAGGTAGAGGAGGGCCAGGTGCGTGTGGTACTCTTCCTTCTGCAGGAGATGGGGATCCAAGCAGACAGACAGTGTTTGTAGGCGGGAAGTGGGAACTCCCCCAGCCAGCAGGTGCTCCCAAGATCAGGACTGCGCCAAGGCAAGCGGGGCAGGGTCTCTGGGGCAGTTAACAGGACAGGCTCACTGAATGAAAACATCCCAGAAACCACAATACAGAGAAGGTAGACTTAAGATCTGTGAGAAAAAAATACAAAAGGGTCGCTTCTCATTTGAGAAGTGAGGGCCACAGGATTTAGCTATTTTCCAGAAAGGTGAAGCTTCCCTCATTTCCCTAAGGATAATAACAAAGGAAGATAGAGACAAAGCCATGCGCTCCAGGCTGCAGAAACCTCCAGCGCCCTAGGCCATCCACAAATACAGGCTGAGCATCCTGGGAACAGGGCATTTAAAATACTACATTAGAACATTTAAAACACCTACACCTGGGCAGCCCCTGTGGCTCAGCGGTTTAGCGCCACCTTCAGCCTAGGGTGTGATCCTGGAGACCCAGGATTGAGTCTCACATCAGGCTCCCTGCATGGAGCCTGCTTCTCCCTCTGCCTGTGTCTCTGCCTCTCTCTCTCTCTGTGTCTCTCATGAATAAATAAATAAAAATCTTAAAAAAAAAAAAAAACCTACACCTAAGATATTGCATTAGAGCCATCTGCCAACAAGCCTTCTAGTCCACCTCTATCTCTTAGGTCACTACTATGACCGGGCAGCCCTGCACACGTTAGTCTAAGTTTGGAGGTGCTCACCTGCAGTCTTCTGTCTATGACTAGATGTTCCAGGTACTTGACAAGGGCTTTAGGGTATTTCTTAAGGCAAGTGATTATACTGTCTGGATTAAAACTGTTCTGCTGTTCATCCAAAGGTCTCTTGGTGAAAACTTGAACTCCAACCTGAAAGAAGAATGGCAATTTTGTTATGGCTTTTTTCCAAGACACCACCTTTTCTTTATTCTGAGCACTGCCCATTTATGTTTGGGTAGTATTATTGTCAATACAGGGGATATAGAGGATACGGAAGGGTACCTGGATGCCTCAGTTGGTTAAGTGGCCAACTCTTGATTTTGGCTCAAGTTGTGATCTCAGGGCTGTGGGATTGAGCTGAGCCCTGCATGGGCTCCATGCTCAGCACAGAGCCTGCTTGGGACTCTCTCTCTCTCTTTCTCTTTCTCTGCAGCCCCCAAAACAAACAAATAAATCTTATTTTTTAATTTTTTAAAGGTTTTATTTATTTATTCATGATAGACATAGAGAGAGAGAGAGAGAGAGGCAGAGACACAGGCAGAGGGACAAGCGGGCTCCATGCTGGGAGCCCGAAGCGGGACTCAATCCCAGGACTCCAGGATTGTGCCCTGGGTCAAAGGCAGGCGCTAAATCGCCAAGCCACCCAGGGATCCCCTAAATAAATCTTTTAAAACCCCACAAAAAACAAAAACATAGGGATACAGAAAATCAGTGCAGGATGGGACTCTGACAGAGACCAAAGAGCACGACACAAAGGCAGGAAAGATGACCTAAACTCTGAAACCTACTCACACACCTAGTTGGAAATTCTTCCCAAAGGGTCACAAATTAAAGAAAGAAACATTTATTGGTAGCAGGTTTTGACCCAAGAAGCTTTGGCTTTGTGCTATTAAGTTCGTCCGAAAACAAGGATGGCCACTTACTGAACAGTAAGTGACAGAATATGTACAGTACTGAGTATCCTGTAAACTCAGTACTCTGCACACTAGTATCCGTGATGTGGTTCATCTGTGCAGATCCAAGGCCAGTCTGGAGCAAGTTTCCAGACTGCCTTTCTGTACCTTTCGAATGGAGATCATTGTGGCAATTCCATCTCCTAGGGAAATGCTAATGGGTCAAGCAGGGAAGTAAATGCATCCTGCTCCTCTCCAGGCACTGATGTGTGCTCACTCTATCTCACACTGACACACACACACACACACCACCCCCATCATGGGCAATACAGCACAGCTCCCCTGAGTATGAATTCTCAGTTCTGTTAGCCTGGATCTCAGTTCTGTAAGCCTGGATCTGTCTGTGCTGTACCAATGACACGAGCTGGGGGAAGTCTCCAAAGCTGAGCTTCAGTTCCCTTGTCTGTAGCTGCCACCTCCTGACGTTGCTGTGGCATTTAAGAGGTGATGTGCATTGAGCGGCTGGCACCTCATCAGGCACACAGAATTCTGGAGATGATCTGCTGACGCCATCCGTCAGCACTGTGAAGAGCCCAAAGCTTCCCACAGCTTTGAGTCTGCATTGCAGGTGTGCGTGAGTGTGTCCGGGTACATTATCTATGCGTGTGCACAGAGACAAGGTAAAGATGAAGGAAAAAGTACACGAGGCACAAGGGCTTGGACCTTCCTGTTCAGATGGCACCATGGAACACAGACCCTAAAATGCTGAGATTTTAGAAAGGCACATGTGACACACAGAAAATTCTACGTTTATGACGAAGGTCCTCCATCAGAAAGCTAAGTTTGTCTCTCCAAGGGGAGCCAAGGAAACATGTGTTTTTAACGGTGAGAACTGAGATGCTATTATTATCTCTTTTCCAGTCATTCTGGGGCTTCCCTAAGGAGTCTTGAGCTTGCTGCACACTGCCCTTTGCCCCCAGGAGTGAGCAGCCACCAGCCACCATCACCCCCTCTCTGCTGTCCCTTCTTGGCTCGAAGACGGCAAGTCCCGTGCAGCTTCCTTCCCTCCTCCAGACCCACAGCTTCCATGCCAGGGGCTGTGGCAGCACAGAGACAGGACAAGGGGTGGCCTGCTATGGCCCAGGCAGGGGCACCAAGCCCTGCGAGGGGACAGTCTGATACTGCTCCGGCCCACCAAAAATGGAGGTGCCACACTTGGTCAGGCAGGGGGATTCACACAGACACATACACACAGACACACGCACACATTTTTCAAAAGACGCTAAGAAGGTGACCTGGCTCTGCTTTCTGCTTTTCTGTAAAAGTGGCCTGCCCCAGACAGATATGCCAAACAGCACATCTCAGGACTGAGATGCAAGACTTTCCTAAGGGCTGGCATGCCAGGGGCACACTGAGATGTATTAGAAGGGGAGCAAATGACAGGCAGGCTGAGGCTACAGCGTGATGGCTTGTGTCTCACTGGAAACAAAGCTTTCTATTTTTGCCAGCCACCCCCTCCTCCCAAAAGAAAAAGACATTTATAAGGCACAAACCTCTTCACTTTTCTGCAGGACCCAATCGGCATACTTCCAGACAAGTTCCTGGTCTAAGCTGTAGGTGAGGAAGTCAACGACATATTCGTACAGGTCTGAGCGAGTGGAGTCATGAATGTCGCCATTCACGATGTTCACCCACAGCTGGGGGGGGAGAAAATTAGAAAGAGAAATGGAAGGTTACATACCTTCTAGGATTATCTAAGCAAGAGCATACGCTCACTCATTTGGCCTTCTGAGACTTGAAAGTAGTAGGACACATTTTCAATGCTTCGGTCAATTTTAAAGTTTTCAGAGAAACAGAATGATGGGGAAGACGTGGCCCAGGAAACCAAGGAGATAAAGGGCCAGATTCTTTTTCTTTCCGTCCTAACGGTATGGCAGTAATGCAAATAGGAAACACAATACACAGGAAGTGGTAGATGTATTAAAGAGGTTTCTCCATGAAATAGAACAATCACTGACAGCATCTCAACCCAGAAGAGGAAACTCACCAGCCTCCACCAGCGGGGCTGTTTCCACCTTCCCCACCTCGGGAATCCTCGCCGTTGAAGTCCCTGTGGACTGTCATAGGCAGACACTGTGCTTTCGGAAATACTAGTGATTCTGTCCCTTACTGTGCTGTCTTGTGCACCAGGGCTCATGGCAGCTGCTAATAGTAACAGTCCCTCACTATATCATCCAGAAACTTCCCTGCTGTGTCAACCCAAGCTTCCTGCCAGAGACCCAGAGTGAGGCTGCATCACGTGGGGGTGGGGGAGGGAGGCTGCCCCACAGCCATACCGCATCCCCTGTACCTTGCCCGCCCACCCGCCTGCCTGCTATGCTGCACTTCAGGACTATACCACCACCGGCATGAAGCCCAAGAAACAGGGCTGGCGGGGTCAACTCTGTGAATCTGGTATCAGCATGTGAACCTTTCTCATGATACCAGTTTCTTTAACACTGAATTCCTCAAACCAAATAAGCTAATCACACACAGAAATATGTTGTTTTTTTTTTTTTAACCAGTAGAATCCCACCATATATGAAGATATCTTTCATACCACTTCGATTTTGCAAATCCCTCCTATGTAGCTCTGCTGATGTTACTATTATGCTCACATCAAGCTGTAATTCCTAGGGTTGTGTGTTTTACAGTATAAAAATGTTGCCCCTGACACTCAAGTCTACTCAGCCACTGGGTATGTATTGATGGAAATCCATTTTTTTTTAACTTCATCTGCAATCATATCGTTACCATGACAGTGACTGCATGTGTGGCTTTGCCAAAGTCATGAGGCTGACCTTAGCTTTGTGACCACTGCTAATGTTCTTGGCCACTCATAGAACAAAATAAAAAAGGCCCATGAGGAAACTATAATACAGAGCAATACCAGTCGCTAACAAGTGACAGACGGGGACAGTGTCTCCTGAGGAGTCACAAGACTTGGGACGAGAGACGAGATATGAGCCTAGAAACGAATGGCCAGGGCCACCGGAATAGTGGTTCACATCCCCGTTCTATTGCTGAGCAGGGCTGTGACCCCAGGCAAGCGAGCGGCCTTCATCAGCTTTAGTTCTGTCCCAGGTGATGAGGGAGAATGATTTACCCTGTTCACTGGCAATGGTTATTGTCATTGATAGTGGAAATCACAAACAAACCGTTATCTGCAGGGTTATTTTCCCAGTAAGGCAGGGATGTCATATGCCGTGTGGCTCAGTAAGAAATCATTTACTTTTGTTTCTTAAAATTTCAAAACCTCAATATTGATAATGTCCTTCAAAGAAGATGTAAAGACAAAAGAAAACCGCTGACTGACTTTTCTCAAGGAATTCACTTTCTAAAACAGTATTATTTTCGTTCAGTAAAAAAAAGTTGTGGGTCGGGCAAAAGTGGTCTCTGTCAACTTGTGCATTTTTTTTCCAAGTTAAATGATAGTGATTTTTAAGTCATGCTAAGATGCTTTTGAACTAACCTGAACTGCAGCCGCGTCTTGGTTATTATAATGATAGAGCAGTCCGAGTGCAAAATACCTGAAAGGAGACAAGGTGGTAAGTACACCCTCTCCCCACCACCTGCTGTGGGTGGCACCCGCCCAGCGACAGCCCCCAATCGCCTGTGTTCGAGGAGTTCAACAACAGATTTCCAAGGACAACACGATCTTTATTTCAGTTTATTTACTCTGGTATTAAACTGTATGCCCTACTGGGGCACCTAGGTGGCTCAGTGGCTGAGGATCTACATCCAGCTCAGGTTGTGATCCTGGGGTCCTGGAATTGAATCCCATATCGGGCTCCCTGTAGGAAGCCTGTTTCTCCCTCTGCCTATGTCTCTGCCTCTCTGTGTCTCTCATGAATAAATACATAAAATCTTAAAAAAAGAATCTGCCCTATCAATTTCCAAAAAGGATCATATTCAAGTCTAGGATGAGCCAAAAAATAAAATAACTATATTACAGAGAATCAAAATTGGAATTGTTTTACAATTTCCTCAAATATTAATCTAATCTCGTATCTTTTCAGATGATCACCATCAACCCATCACGAAGTGTCGAAGAATATTTGGAGGGTGTGTCGTCAGAGTTGTTACTGAAGGGGGGGGGGCGGTCAGGAGCCTGAAGAACAACAGCAATGCAGGCCCAGAGGGCCCAGCTGTCACAGAGAACAGAAGGTCCGGGAGGGTCGGGGAGGGCACCCGGGTATCTAGGCCCAAGGTTCAATTTAGGTTCTGTTACTTGAGGACTTTGTGGCCTTGAGCAAGTAGAAAGCCTGCCTGGCCCCCCATTTCCTCAGTGGTGAGTGGGAAGGGAAGGGTGAGCAGTAGCTCAGGCACTGCCTAGGCATGAGCTGCTCCAGCCTCCCAAGTTCCACAGGAGCGTCCTGCTCCCTGTCCAGTTTCTCCCCAGCCGGTGATGGACCAAGCTGAGCCGGGGGCGGGGGGAGGGGGGGGGGATGCTGGATTGCCTCCCTCCGAGAGCGAACTCTCAAGGTATCCAACTATTCATGCCCTCCTCTTTTCCTCAGCCTTTCAGGAAGTTATACTGACTCTCTGGACCCTACCAGTCCAAGCCACGATCATGAGGCATCAGTGAGGTTTTCTGGTTCCTAAGCAAAGTAATTCTCTTCTATAGCATGTCTGGGAAATGGAAGGAAAGTGCTGGGAAGGGCCAACACCCACGTGGAGACCAATCCTGATCCCCTGTTCCATCTGAACAGGATCTATACTGTAACCCCTAAGATTCTCATGGGACTGCATCTGTCCTTCTACATTTCAAATACATAACAAAAATCACAGCTGAAGAACCTTACTGCTTAAGGGAGTCTAGAGATCATCTGACACTTCTGAAAGAATCCCCCCTCATCCCCATACCTGCCCAGGATGGAGCTACCGGCTCTTACCCAGCCAGGTGCTATGGCCAACTGCCCTTGTGTGTCAGGCAAGGGGGCGGCTGTCTACCAACTCGTGCTCATTATGAAGGCAGAGTTCAAAGCCATAAACTTTTATCAACAAGATCAAAAAGTCTCCCTTTTAATCTATTTATCCAGACAGCTATCTATCTGTGCGATTTGGCCTATTGACGACTAAAGTGTGCTATTAATTTCACCAGCATGCATGTGGCATCTTCCACAGGAGAGTTTTACATGGAACAGTATGGATATGAATGCTAAGAATCCCTTCATTTACTAACTGGGCCTCTGACTGGCTGTAATTACCAACCTTAAAGAGTTGCTATGAGGGGCACTTGGATGGCTCAGTTGGTTAAGCGTCTGCCTTCGGCTCAGGTCATGATCTCAGGGTCTTGGGATCAAGCCCTGTGTTGGGCTCCCTGCTCAGCAGGGAGTCTGCTTCTCCCTCTCCCTCAGCCCCTCCCTCTTCTTCTGATCTCTCTTTCTTTCTCAAATAAATAAAATCTTACAAAACAACAACAACAAAAGAGTTGCTATGAGAGCTAATGCCTTCCAAGACCTCTCTAGTTGTTTGCAGACTGTGCCAAGGGTGATCTAACTTGAGGGGTGCTGGGATGTCACTATGACGTCATGGAAGTCACTTGCTGAGTGTCCTGGGGACTCACACCCACCAGCTGTGTTGGCTTCACAACAGCCCACCCCCCTTCACGATGCCCCTGGCCACATGTGGGAAGGGAACACTCACTTTTTGTGCTTCTCTAGCCAGGCAGCGCTGTCTGTTAGGAGACAGGAGTTCTCAGTGACCAGGAGGTCCAGCAGACTGTCATGGTCAGCCTCTGCGTACAGCTTGAGCAAGGCCGTGTCGATATCCTCTTTGTAGCCATTGGCTACCTCTGTGCTGCGGACCTCATTCAGGTAGCTCATGAGGAAGCGCTTACACTTGGCCATCTTCTCCTGGTCCCCCTGTGTCAGCTGGTTCAGGTCTGCATACTCGTGGAGAGGAGGGTGGGACCGTGTGAATGAGGAAGAGGTGGGCAACAGGAAGGGGTACAGAGAGATCAGCTCCCGGACGTCAAGCTGGCCGCTTCTGCAATTACAGTGTCAAACTAAATGAAGCAAAAAGAGAGAAAGACTACACATAGGCACACAAAACGACATGGGGGGCGTGCACATCCGCACACAGTAACGGGGAGCTGATGTGTGGGTGAGTCCTAATTGGCAAGCCCAGCAGAGCACGTGATCCCAAGAACGCATGAGGGGACCACAGAGAAAGATACACACACTGCCAGTGCTGATGCCCAGTATCAAGACCTGAGGTGGTCTGAACACCAAGTGAGCATCAGACTCCCTGGAAACCAAGGCCAAGAAAGGAATATGGAGGGAACACAGCACTGTCTGGTCAAAGGCAAAGTACAGTCCTTCTGAAACCAACATTTGTCCTGGCACCAAATTATAAGCAGGTTTGCTCAATGGCCCACAAAGGGACTTTGCCAGACATGACTTACAACTGCCTCATCAAAGATCTTAGGACAGGAGCCATGGGAGTGTTCATGAGGCTGTTGCTCTGCTGACTCTTGATGGCCTCTCAGAGCATAAGGTTAGGCCACAACTCAAACAGCCGCGTGGTGTCCTAACCTCAAAAGGCCAGGGAACCCATCTGGTGATGTCCTACCTCTATTGCCTGTAGGCCCCACCGTGCTCCGCAGGCCTGCTCATCCTGTCCACCGTGATGACAACGGCAGCATCACGGAGCTGCAGACCTCAACCCTGGCCCAGGAGCAGCCTCACCTGTGGGCCCCTCTTATGGAAACAGCTGCAGGGCCCCCGACATGAATGGGAACCCCAGGTACGGCTTGGGGTCTACACATCCTGCAACTTTCACTGCACCCGCCTCCCTGCAAGTTCTGACAGCCTCTCCTCTTCCCCAGCTTCCGGCCTCTGGTTCTCCTTGCTTCCACTCCTGCCGCCTCCCCACTCCATCTTCCTTGCTGCTGGGCCTCTCGAGGCTGGGCTCAGACCCCTGAGCACGGTGTTCTTCCTTGCTGCTCCCACTGATCTTACAGCTTTGGCTTCCACCATCCTGCCCACTCTACGATGCTTCTGTGCCACCCATCATTTCCCTAGTTTACACACTTCATGCCTTAGGCTTTGCTGCCTTGCTTCTTCTGCTTAAAGCCACGGCCTTCCACGGAAGCAGTTTTGCTCCCCTGGGGACTTTTCTCCATGTCTGGAGATGCTTCTGGTCACCACTGGAGGGTACTACTGGCACTGAGTGGGGAGAGGCCGCAGTTCCTAGGATGCACAAGAGGGTGCCCATAACAGATTATCCAGCCCAAAAAGTGATGACAGGTATGATTCTCAATTTTGGAAGCTTCCAGCCAAATCCTGATCTATGCCCATGCTGTGCATTGCCCCCAAAGCACTCCACCCCCACCGTGGAGCAGCACCCACGTTGCTGCCTAACGGACACACAGCCAGAGTCCAGACCCACATGGGCACGCCATAAAAGCAGGGTGCGGTGTGACCCTGACATTCTGGCTGTGACACTGGGGCCAAGTCAGCTTCATGGGAGACATGCTGACCTGACCGGACACAAGGACATCTAGAGGAAGAGGCACAGACCGTGTGGCCCACACCGTGCATCATAAACAGGTTCTCTCCAGGCTGCCGACCAGGATTAGTTGGCAGTTGTGGCTTCTAGCCCTGAACTGAGAAAGAATCTGAGGATAGGTCTCAATCAGTAAGGAAAAAAAAATCACAAGTTATTAGCAAGATCTGCCGTGGGCACAGGAAGGGAAAGTGGAATCACGCTTGTCTTCGGCATGCCTACTTCAAGTATTAAGTGTCGGTCACATTTTTGACAAAAACTGAGCAGCCATCAATTTAAGCTATTAAGGGGCCGAAGCATGAGAAACAGGAACCTCATGTTAATGACCAGCAGGCCCTCCACTTACTCTGTCACAGTCTGAACTCTTCTAGGAATGCATGATGACCATTCGCCCACTGTTACAAATTAACTCACGAGAAGAAGACAGTCCCGTGACCCCAAGGAGGAGGGTTTTGACACCACCTGGCTAAAACAGGTAGGGCAGAAAGGAGCTAGGTCCACGGGGACAAAGAATCTACCTCAGTCCCCAAGTTACTGCTGACCCTGCCAGGAATAGATGATGATAGCATGCAGAATTCACATACATGTAAGTTATACGGGGCATCACTCCTTGCTAAGTGACTATACTCAGAAGTGTGCTCCTCCAACCAGAGCAGGAGGCCGGGCCTGGGCTGAGTCCACACCCCACAGAATGGACTGCGGATGGCATGCTATAGTCGTGCTCTGCTCTGCTTGCTACTTGGATGTGAAGGATCTGTTCGGACCCTTTGTTATACACTTTATCCTCTAAACTGTGTGGAATCTAGTCTGGTTAGTCCGAAAAATTATATCCTAAGTTGTCCTCATGAAGGTTTCCGTGCAAAGTCTTTGGAAGAAGCAGTTTCTACCGGTCTTCCCAGAGGCACCTGCTCTTTTCCTAAACTTCTAATTTCCTGTAAAATATCTGAAGAAAAGGAAGGTGAGCAAATAATAGCATTTTCCTAGGAATCTTCCATGTTAGTGAATTCACTCCAGGATTCCCTTCTCCTCTCTCCACGGGCCTGCTATGGGCACCTCCTCGTTAGCTTCTACTCTCCTCAAGACACAGGGCAGATAAACTGAGGGTAAGGGGTGCGGGTGGGGAATGAGCACCGGTGGCAGATGCTGCTGTCAACAAGCCTCCCCATCACCCCTGAGCACACTCTAATCATGGCATCCCAATCGAGATGAAGGTTTGGGCCACAGAGGGACATGAGGGGAGGCTCGCCACCAGCACCTCAAATTACCTGAAGAGCTCCTTAGCTTCCAGGAACTGAAGCTGTGCAAACTGTATAAACCCCGCCTGCTGCAGAATCCTTCTGTACATTACCTGCAAGGAAAGACAGGTTTAATCCATCTCTTAGACAAACCCTAAAACCAACACAACAGGAGGAGCTTTCTGATCAGAACCCAAGCCAAATGTTCATGGTTACACAGGAACTGGAAGTTCCAACCAAGGTAAAGAAAAAAATGGCATATATGAAATTATTTTCAATATAGACAAATATATTTGTGGGCGTGTGTGTGTCAATCAACCCGCTCATTCCTGAAATAATGCTGTTCCCTATTTGACTATTCTCCCTCACTTTCTCCTCAGATCTTCCCCCTAAATCTCATTTCCTTCCCAATTGTGTTCTTTGATCTTCCTCCTCCTCCTTAACTCACAGGGCAGCAGTGAGGGCTTCTACCTATGGATGCTCAGATGAATATCAACAGCTCCAGTGTTTCTGGAGGTCCAGAAGCTGCTCACCCTGCTTCCAACTCCTCTGGAATTGACACCTCACTTCTGAGTATCCCTCAGAGCACAGGGCCTATGCCATTTAATCAAAATAGATAAACCCTCATGCTTTCCCAGCCCACGCTGGGAAAATGCAGTGCATTCCCTCTCCTGGAGCTGCATGATCCATAGTCACACACCAGTCAGAATTCCTGCTGTCAAGGTGCTGGGTGATCTTTGTTTCAGCCAGTACCACCAAGGTTTCCTTGACCACAGAACTTCTTTCTTGTGACATCCTGTAACAGCAAAGTGTGCTACAGAAAGCTCTCCTGTGGTGTCTCGATTCCACCCTGTTGCTGTCCAACGTGGTCAGTGCTGGACATGCAGGCATCCATCCTTTGCCTGGAGTAGCCCTAGGACATGTCTCTTCGCTCTGTTCATACTGGCGCCATCCTATAGCCAGGCTGTCACCCTCACACGGTCAAAGATTCTACTCATGTTTCAGACCCTGAGAGTTCAATTCCTCCACCTTCCAACCACTGTGCTGCTGTATGAGCCATGAATTCCTTGGAAGCACAGTGCATATGTTACTCCTCTTTGTAGCCCCACACCCCAGCATAGCACCTGCCATTCAGGAAGTGCTTCTGGATCTGAAGAGCTGTTGTCTTGGTATTGAGACAATACTGATGCCCAGAGATATTAAAATCTTAGCCCAAAGTTAGTGAAGTCATAAGTGGTAGAGCCGGGTTTAAAAAATAGATCTTTCGGAGTCTAGAGCCCAATTCTTTCCACCCACTGAGTCGCACAGTTATACAGCAAGCAGTTAATACTGTTACTCACTGAAGAAGTGAGGGAAGAGGAGACTTGGAACCTAGAGGCTAAGAATCCTGTTTCCTCACATCAGCTTTTAAAGAAATTTTTGCTGTACTTTTGAAGAGTTCTCAAAATGTAGCATTCCTTCCCTGTTCCCATAGAAATTCCTTGAGAGAAGTCAGAAAGGCAGGTTGCTTTTTCATCTCATTACCTTTACCTTTCTTCCCTGACAGCAGCCATTTGTGGCCTAACAATATATACCCAACAATAAGCAGACAGGGGTGGGTCAAAGTTCTGTTATACAGGAATGCCAGCTCCATTTCCAGAAATAGATGTGATAAAGACTATCCACTTAGCAAAAAGGATCCAAAGGACCCAGCAGCTCCAGCAGAAGAATTCTTGATCACCGCCTGGCCTTGTGATGAGAAATCAGCCAAACTACAATTTACTCCTCGTGGTTGCAGTATTCAAATGCCATCTACTGTTTCCCTTCCTAAAGGGAAATAAAAAACACTTATGCAAACACTCCCAATCTTTAAGAATATGGAGTTACTTTTTGCATTCTAGTCCACATTCACTCTAGGTAGACTTAGAAGCAGCATGCAAAGAGATCCCATCATCCTGAACATAAGCATCTAGAGGCAAAACCATGGATGATACATAAAACCACTGACAGACCTAAAAACACCTGAACAAAAACCTTAGCAAGCATAGCCAATTCCCAGTGCTCTGAAAGTCTGTCTCCTTTCCAGACTGCCTACTATGACTGACCGCTCCTTTGGCACTCCACTCAGGTGATGTGGACTGTAAACCTGGGGCCAGGTTGGCCAGCAGGACAAGGAGGATGGCCATGTGAGGAAAAAGAACAAGAAAGTCCGTTTATCTTCCCAGCATCAAAACTAATTCAATGGAATCTTTAGCTGTCTTTTTAACTTATTAATTTGTCCCTTGGCATAAGGTAGCTATTAGAAGTCCCAGGCCAAGAGAGTAAATTAGCAAAATAGAGCTCTAAGTCTAAGTTATGCCACTCACTCAGCACAGAGATGGGGGGCTCCTACGAGCCAGGTGTAAGAGGTCATGTATATTCTGGGAGCAAAGTGAAACTGAAGTCAAAACTTCTGTTTCTACTATCCTATTTCTGAATTAAGATTTCTAAATTTCATGCTTTGGGTAACTAGAAATGTTGTGAAACAGAAGATTCTATTCTATTTGATTTAGAATGAGGCTTTTTTAAGGGCAGAAAAGCCAACTTCTAGGATCAGGCTTGGATCCCCCAATTCCCACCTCAGGGGTTTAGCACTTCCACTTTGCCAGTGGGCTCATTTTCAGGACAGCAGGGCAGGTGGGCATACCCCTTTCCTACTGAGAATAACTGTGTATCTGTTGTTAACAAATCACCAGGTGCAGTCATTACCAACCAGATACAAACCTAGAGGACAGCCTACTCTTGACATGAGACTACCCATAAGTTTCTGGTTATAATGCTCTATAAGAAGAAGACTTGGGATATATGGTACCTACATATCATTCCTGTAAAATGAGTACAACTAACACTTTAAATAAAAATTGGTACAAATGTTATACTTTAAACTGTATTCATACCTTTTCCTATAATACACACTTCAGTGGTGGGTTTTAGGCTTTTTTTAAAAAACTCTTCTTACTTAATTATTGCCTAAATAGAAACACTTTTCCCAAAACACACTGGGTGAAACAGTAATCCCACCTAAGCAGCCATGATATTCTCTCCTCGTTCAAAAGGCAATACATCCTGATTAAGTTTGGAAACAGATGTCTACGTGTATATATGTGTGTGTATTACTGTAAATGTTGATATGGGGTGTCTGGGTGGGGTCAGTCAGTAAAACATCTGCCTTTGGCTCAGGTCATTGATCCCATGGTCCTGGGATGGAGCCCCATATTGGGTTCCCTGCTCAGCAGGGAGTCTGCTTCTCCCTCTCCCTCTGGTCCTCCTCCCCACTTGTGTTCTCTCTCTGTCTCAAATCAATCAATCTTAAAATAAATAAGTAAATGATATGTAAAATATATATGTAAAAAGTATTTACATGCCATATATACACACACTTACATATATAAAACAAATCCATAATGTATAAAATAATGTATTTTACATATGTCCCTCTTTGGGAATTCATAGAAAGATAACAATAAAAATATAATACATGGATATTAGTATATTAGAAGCTCTGAGAAGTCCTCCAATTAAGAAACACAATTAATGCAACTGTACAAAACAGAACCTTTCCACCTTGCACCCATCACCATCCCAGAGCAAGGATCTGGTGACATGCAAACTGGAAGCCATGCTCCAGAAGGCAGCCATGTAATGGGGAAGCATGCAAAGCAGGAAAAATGGTCAGTTCCAAAGGTGCGGATGGTGGGGGCCAGCATGAGAAGAGGCAAGAGAAGAGGGCCTGAGGAACTCAGCATGCATAACGAAACCTACCCAAAGCACAGGTCCAAACCCTTGCAAAGGATACACTAAGAGATAGGAACACATGGCTGTTTAGAAGAAAAATGATGTTCTGAAGGCAAAAGCCCCCTTGCTCTTCGATCTTTTTTTCTTTACCGACATACATGTATTTTTTAAGATTTACAATGTAAGTGATGCATTCATATAGCTCAAATTTCAAAACATTCAAAGGGATTTCATCCCTCCCACTGCCAGCACTGCTCCAGAGATAATCCGATACTATCAATTTCTGGGGTAGCCACAGAAATACGTTATGTGTTTATAAGAAAACTCCCCCCATTTAATAGCACTAAAGACAGAGTACTGTCTGTACTCTCTGTACATATTTAACCTAGTGTCTTTCAGAAATCCTTCTGCCTTGACACACAAAGTCCCTGGTTCTCGTTCATGGCTCTGCAGCATCCCGACGGCCCTCTAGACCACAGCGCATTCAACCATTCCTCCACCGACAGCATCTGAGTCATTGGTTTTTCTTTTTAAGTAAACAGTGTGATCGTGAAGCATCTTCTCCATTAATTATTTTGCATTTTTGTGGCTAGATCCATAGTATACCCCTCTAGACACAGATCTGTAACTTGGGGAGAGATTCTCAAATTGTCCTTCCACAGGCAGTTTACATTCGCAGAAGTGCTATCTGTGAGTGTCCATTTCCCCACACCCTCAACAGAGTATCCTTGAGCCCTCTGATCCTTAACAATCTGAATGGAAAACATATTAGTGAGCTTTGAGTTTGCACATTTCTATGAGTGAGACAAAATATCTTTTCATACATTTGTAAGACAGGTGATTTCAGTTTCTATGAAATATCTGTTAATATCCATTTTTCTATTGGGCTATTCATTTTCTTTCTTATTTATTTGGAGGAGGTCCTAACATTTTACAGAAATTAGCCTACCTTCTGTGCTTTAAATTGCAAGTACTTTTTTGCTACTTACTTTTTAAACTTATTTATAGTAGGTTTTACATGTAGAATATGTTTGTAAGTGTATGTATGTAAATTTATTAAATTTTTAAAAATTACTTTAAAATGTTCCAAAACCAAAGTATCTGGGAAGATAGTGGCATGCAGTCTTTTTAATCTTGCAGCTTCCTCATAAAAACAGAACAATTAGTTCATAGCAGTTCACAAGAGCCAAAAGGCAGAAGCAACCCAAGTGTCAGTGGATGAATGGATAAACAAAATGTGGTATATCCATAAATGGAATATACTATTCAGCCTTAGAGAGGAAGGAAATTCCGACACATAGGCACTATACTATAGCCTTGATGACATTATGCTAAGTGACGTAAGCCATGGAACAAAAGGACAAATCCTCCATGAGTCCACTTACAGGAGGTACTCGGAACAGCCAAAATCATAGACCACAGAAAGTATGACATTGCCACAGGGAGGAGGAGGGGCAGTTAGCACTTAATGAAGACAAAGTTTCAGTTTTGCAAGATGACAAGTTCTAGAAATGCATGGTAGTGACGGTTGACCAACAATGTGAACATGCTCAATGCCACCAAACTGTAGACTTAAGAATGGTTAGGATGGTACATTTTATGTTAATGTGTATTTTATCACAAGTCAAACAAACTATTGGAATAACAAAACCAAAAACTCAGTGACAACATCAAGTGACAGCATCCCACAAACCCAGAAGCGCGAGCTGTTGGGGACAAACCAGCACCAACTATACGGGAAGCCAATATACATTATGAGACTGTGGGGAGCCGCGGAGAGAGGCCAAGGGGGTTGTACGGTCATGAAAGCCAGAGTTTCCAAACCTCTGTCAGGAACCACTGGAAAGCCTGGGAGGGAAAAGGGCCTTTGCCAGCTCCAATCTGCCAGTAAGTGGAACAATGAGAAAGGGAGCTTTAAACCAAGGGAAACCTCCTTGGGCATCTAAGACAAAAGGCCAACTCACTGAAAGGGAGAGGAATTCATATTGTCATCCAATTTTTGTCGATGCTTGATGGCAAAAAATAATGGTGCAACTTATTTAAGTTTCTCATTGAAAGAGTGTGAGTCAATGATTTTAGGGCCAGCCACAGTGGTCTTCAGGCATAAAGGCTGCAGATGAACTATTATCAATGTGTAGGGACAGTGTTCTCAAACCCCCATGCTGGGATACCTGCTGGGGGATCGACTGCTGCAGGAAGCCAGAGGACAGCAGAGTCAGCGGCATAAAATGTGCCAGTGAGCATTCAGTACACATCTGCCCTGAGCAAAGACAGACAAATACAAGGGAGGCAGGAGATGCATTCAAACAGCAGAGACATCATGACCATCGAAACACAGGGGGCAACAGAGAGATGATGCAGAAGTACAATGTGCTCTCTGAGGATTAAGGAATGTGACTTGAACACAGATGCTGGGGGCAAGGAGGGAAAGGTGCTAAGGGCTTACCAGCTAATTCCAAATGCTGCTCAAAGTGGGGAATCGACAGACAATAGGAGCTCTCCCCAGCAAGAAGAAGAAAAAAACCAAAGGACTTTTATAAAGTTAATACTATTAGGGGAACCATTAGAACAGAAATTGCAAGCTTCATGCCAAAAGAAGACCTGGGAATGAGGAGGAAGGAAGAGTGCTGGAGGTGGGGGTTGACAGGTGAAGGGAGAACAGCGTTCTGTGAATGAACGGTTTTGTTGATTTGACTTCTAAATTCTGTAAATATTTTACATAACCGTAAGACAAAATTAAATTCCAAAAAGCAATCCCTAGAAGACAAATGTACAAACAAAGGACCCTAACTACATACATGAGAGACGCAGTGGTGGGCCTGCACAGAGCTGGCTCCCGGGGGGCTCTAGCACAGTCACCTGACTGCACAGCCCGCTTGGGAGTTCCCTGAAGGACAGAGAGAATAACAAGACACAGCACTTACGGGACAACAGGAATGCAAACTGCTGGGACTCTCTGTTCTCTGAAGGACTTTGTAATGACTTTGGGGAGTTCTGTAGACCGTACTGTGGTTACACTTAAAAGGGAACATCTTGACTTTTAAAGATATATACTCAACTAGTTTTAGATGAGACAGAAAAAGAAATACAGGTATTGGAGTTCAAGCTTAAATACGAAAACTGTCCGTAGTACTCAACACAAACCAAGAGAACTTTCTGACACAAGCCTTTGTGTGTAACACAAGAGGTCTCCTTACTGCTGCTTTCTTTACAGAAAACCTTAAGATATCTTAAACCTTAAGATAATTTAAGCCCAGTTTTCTTAGAGATCTAAACTCTCTGGCCCTTTGGGATCTCTAGGAGCATTATTCTTTTAATCCTGGTCCCAGAATTAAACTTCTTGATAAATCCCTCCCTAGTCCAGAAGTCAGTGACACAAAACCGACGAAACAGTGACAAGCCTGTCCACTAGACAGTTGTCCCTATTTCTCTCCCTTTCTGGCTTCTCTAAGCCCACAGTCCAGCATTTGGTGGCAAGCATCCTCAGGTTAAAATAAGTAACGTGCTTCATCATCTAAGAGTCACATCTCATCCTCAAAAACATAGACATGTTCAGGAAAAGTTCTCTCTAAATCTTTTCTGTCAATATTACTCTTCCCTTATGGTTCTGTTTTTAACACAAAACTTCTGCTCTGCAATCCACTATATCCCAACTGTGTTTGAAGAGGAGTGGGTTACCATCACCCACTGTGTGGCATTTTGGCCCCAGGTGTGACCAGGCTACCAAGGGACAGAAAGAGGGCAGAGTCTACCTAGGAACTCAGGAGGCCAAAACTTGAGCCATGTAGTGCAAACAGATGTATTAAATGTTAACACACAAAGAGCAGGGGAGGGATTGGTTCTTCCTGGAGGGATGGGGAGGACTCAGAGGAGAGAGATAAGCAAAGTTCTGTATCATCGAGTACAGAAGCATACCCCAGTAATGGAAGCCAGCGTAAATAACAAGTCAGGCAAAGGGGAGGACAGAGAGGTGTGTGAAAGCACACGGCGCCTTCTGCAAACGGGCAGGCTAGGCACATGGGGTGAAGTGCCACTTCACAGGGCTGGCACTGATGCAGCTGGACAGGTGTCCCCATGTGAAATCATCTCAGCTGGCCTGCCTTCTCATCTTTGGACAGTGGTGCTGGCTACTTCTTAATTATTTTGAGGATTAAAAATGTCTTGAGGTACCTCACAGAATGCTTACATGTTTCAGGGCTCAAGAGTTGTCGACTCCTTTGCCCTCCACCCTTTGAGGCGTAGCGTGGGTCATGGAAGTGGCATGGGCCAGACCACGAAGCTCTTCAAGAGTGTGCATGAGGCACCCGCCATGATACTCTGAGCAAACGAGTCCACTAGAATGCAGAAAAAAGAACATTCCCACAATGGCATGGACGATGGAACACACACACACACACACACACACACACACACACACACACACACATTGTTAAAGTAACAACTCAGGCAAAACAGATGTGTCTGCACACCAGCAAAAGCAACAGGCACTGGAAATGAGGGCTAAATTCGAGATCATTCTGAAAATCTATTTCCAGGTCTGGATATATGATTTTGTCACAAGTGGGAGAAGGCAGGAGCATGTGAGAAAGAAAAAACTACACCTGAGATAGGATGACACTTAGGTGACGTCTGAGCAAGATGAGAACTAATATGAGTCAATATTGACTGCATTTCTTTACTCAGCAAAAGGAGAAGCAAGGGAGCAAAGATCAGACAAGGAACACTGGGTGTTTCTGGAAGAACATTTCCTGCATCTAAAGCGTGCACATGTATGTGTGTATGCAAGGAGGGGGCCCCCCCAATGTGGGGCCCACCTAGGCATCCACACGTCCACAGGAGGCAGCTCGGGGGTGGAGCCAGCAGGGTGGGGCGGCCTCAGACCCTGTGGAAGGCACAGCCACCCCTCTGGGACAGCCTCAGCGCTGCAGGGGGAAGTGGCTCAATGCTGCTCCTGAACCCACAGGAGCTGCTGCTCTTCCTTTGCCTCTGCTGCCCCCTGCTGAACGCTAATAGATCAGTTCCACTCTAAATACGATCCCGGAGGAACAGTTTATCATTCTTTAAATATAGAAAAGACACCCTCTTCACATGTAGTGAGCCCCACATAACATATAGAGAAGCTGAATCCCTATGTCGTACACCTGAGATTTATGTAACATGGTGTCTCAACTCTACTCAAATTAAAAAAAAATTACAGAAAAAATGCCCACTTTCTTACTTAAAACAGTAAGTTACACGTCCGGTCTTCTTTCATTTGGCAGCATAAAGCAGCTGAGGTCAGAAGGCGTTACTTCATTGCACAACAATCACTGAGTCTGGTGCCAATCTGGCTGATTGGCAGTATCGAGGGATCATGATGAAGTCACAGAACTTTTCATGATTGGTTTCGATAATCAGTGAAGCAGAATGTTTCATTACTTTCAAATACGTAGAATAATGTGAACTAACCTAACAACCAATTCAGCAGTAATTTTTAGGGAAGCTGATTTCAATGGACATAAGAATAACCCATGATTCTTGGATCCATTTTATTTATCATTCCAACTATATTAAAGTTGGTGTCTCAAGTGCATTAAAAGTTTTCTCCTATGGAAATTAATTAGATGGATTCCTGCAGAATTAGATCATTTACCAGTATGGCTAACAAAGCTTTTCCTGTAGATACTGAACGTCTAAACTTTTAGCATTGAATCCTGTCCCAAAAAATGCAAATTCTAAATTAGGAGACAAATTAAGCTGATGTTACTCTTGAGGTTTATGAGCACTATGCTCCTGACTCTTCTCCGAAGGCCCATTGGAAAGAGAGTTGATTAGAAATACTACTTGGTATCAAGTCAGAGCTTCACAGTTTGACCTGGCCTCAGCTGGCAGTGAGGCCTCAGTCCAGCTCTCCAGCTGCTCTGCAACCTGCCTCCGTATCTGTGTAATGGGGATGGGCTTGAGGAAGTTAAACCACAGATGCAGAAGCAGTCTGCAGGATCATGGCACACAAGAAGGGCCAACGTACCTAAGTGAAATCTGAATGTCATGTAGCTGGTGGCTTGGCGGCATGGTTTCTTGTGACCAACTAATTACAAACCTGAAATTTTTCTTTTGGAATGTTCCTCCGGGCTCCTTTTGCTAAAACCAAAGCCTCTTCCACTCTATGGCTTGCTAGAAGATCCTGTATTTGCTTTTCCAGGGGCAATGGTACCAAGATGTAAACTCCTTTACTTGTGGCAACAATCACTCTTCCTGGGAAAAAATTCAACAATATTGGAAAGAGAAAGAACACACTGTACAGACACACGCTGTTTCCCCCAAATAGGATTGTCATCCGATCTGATGGCTGATTTCTTTGTCTTTGTTTTTTTTTTTTTAAGATTTTATTTATTTATTTTAGAAAGAGAGAGAGAACACAGAGGTAGAGGGAAAGGGAGAAGCAGGCTCCTCGCTGAGCAGAGCCTGACACAGGGCTCAATCCTAGGACCTTGAGATCATGACTTGAGCAAAAGGCACACGCTTAGACTGAGCCACCCAGGCACCCTTGATGGCTAATTTCGTTGTAGTTCTCCCAACACAGAATTCCTACAGAAATTATAAATTACAATGCTTTTATTTTCTTCTTCCCATATTGTCAACTGTCAGAAAAAGGGTAGGATGCTAATACCACATTTCCAAAGTACAAAATATGTTTTGCTGTTTGTTTGAAAGTGCTGATAAATTTAAAATCAGTTGAGCAGTGGGGCACCTGGGTAGCTCAGTCAGTTAAGCATCCGACTTCGGCTCAGGTCACGATCCCAGGGGTCCTCGGATGGATCCTGTCAGGCTCTGTCCTCAGTGGAGGGAGCCTGCTCCTCCCTCTCCCTCTCCCCCTGCTCATGCTCTGTGTCTAAAATAAATAAATACAATCTTTAAAAAAAATAAATAAAATCAGTTGAGTAGATACATAACATATAGTCCAAAGAAGTTGTACAGATCAATTATGGCAAATGATTTATGGGAATTATGATATTCTTCCTTTTCTTTCCACGTTAGTTTATAGGAACCTAAGATTATAATACTACATTCTGAACCATTAGATATTTCATACTCACCTACCATCCAAATACCCAAGTCTTGGCCTGACTTTATTGACTTCCCCGTAGCCCTGTGAGTTCACCTGACCTGCGGCCAACACCAACACCCTCATGTTACTTATGAGACCCTGGGTTAATAGCCCACAGAACTGGAGCTGCAATCCAAGACGCTCCTGCTACAAAGCTTTGAGTTCTGCTCCCCTCTGGAGACATTCTTTAAGCAAACTATTACTGTGCATAGGAAGCAATGGGATGATCTTTCCTTCCTGTCTGAAGGATGACACAGTGTCAGCCAAGCCTTCCCACTCCTCTGCTCTTCTCTCCTGGGAACCCATCGTTTCACTCCAGCCCACTGTCTGGTCTAACAGGCCTCTTCTCTCCTTGCCTGGACATCTTCTTTTTAGTCTTCCCATTCTGCTCTCTTGTCCACATTATCTGCCTTCTATATCACAAGCGAAGTAATTTTTTTCATACTCAGATGAGATCCTGTCCCTTCTCTGCATGGTGTCCCTCTTCCTGGGAAGCCTTCCCTTGTCTGCACCTGCACCTGGGGGGCAGGGGGGTATTATGTTGGCAGTCTCCATGTGCTCATGACCCTGTGCCCACCTCTACCACTCAATGTCTGTGGCACTATGATATTGTTACAAGACATGTGCTTCTGATATGTGTGTTGGGACTCCAACTGGAATGTGACATGCTTAGTGTGGGGGCCAAGAGTTTCAGTAAGTTTATATCCCTTGCATCTATAACAGGAAGGGGGATGCTTGGTGAGCTAAAATCCTTAAATGGCAAATGCAACGTGTAAATCTAGATCAATTCCCGGTTGGAAGAAAATAGCATAAAAGACCTTCTTGGGACAACTGGGGAAATCTGAACACGGACAGGATATTAGAGTTGATTTTCTAAGGGGTGAAAGGGTTTTGTGGTTATATAGGAAAATACTCTAACTCTTAGGAGATGCATGTTGCAGTATTTCAGATTAAATGTCATGATGTCTTTTACTTACTTTTGAATGGCTCAGTGAAATGTTTACAAGTGCTGAGCCAAGGTGAATGGTATATGGTGCTTCATTTTGTTTTTCTTTTGACTTTTCAGTACGTTTGAAAATGTTCGTAATAAACTTTAAGAAAGTAAAAGAAACCCCTTGCCTGGCTCACCACTGCACACAAGGGGAGGTTACTCCTGGAGGCCCTGGTCTCTTGCAGCCTCAGCTCAGGCCAGCCTGGCCCTCCCAGCGTCAGGGCTCCCTCTTGTGCAAATCTGCAAGTACCTTTCTCTCTACCTGAGGTTCTTTCACACCAAATCTGTTGGGTTGACTCCTACACATCCTTCAAGGTTTGGCTCAAATACCATCTCCTTCAGGAAGCCCTCTGCAATATTTCCAGGAAACATTCCCCCCTCCTGTCCCCCACTCTCCTCACTGGCCTTGTTTCATGCCTATCAAGCTCCTAAACTGCTAGTTATCTGTCCAAATGTCTATTTCCCCTTTAACCTTGGAGCCCCTGCAGCACAGACTCCGTATCACCATCTCCCATGTAGCTTCTAAGTTTAGCATGAGGTCCAAGCTCTGAAAGGGGCCTTAATACCGTTTACTGAAGAAACGTCACAAAAGGGTTGAGAACTAAGTTTCATTAAGATTCTTGTCAAAGAGGTACCTTCAAAGTCCTGTAGAATGTGGCCTTCCTTAAAGGGCAGGGTCTGCTTCTGCTGCTGATCCAACATGCTGTGCACTGTGATGAACTCATCATCGAGCGCTAGGACGTACGGAAAGCAAATGGCCGCCCCGATCACATTCTCCGACCAGTGCACGGGGGCTCGCTGAGATATGCCAGCAACTGTGGCAAACATGCCTGCAAAAATAGGAAGCATTAGGTGGCCTCCAAAGGACCGTGGCACTTTTCCTTTCTGTAGATGTGTCTGGATACAGAATACCACCCTCTCCTTCCTTATATTTCAAGATTGGAAAGATAATTTATTATGCTTCAGGTGTGGAGAACCTTCCATGACTTAATTTTTTTTGTGAAAAGAACTATCCCCCCACCAGAATGTGTACCTTTCATTTACTTCCAAGTATAAATGAGCTTACAAAAAGGTTTACATGTACCCACCCAAAGGTTTATAAAGCACATGTCCTCACCTGTGGGGAAAAAAATGATTTCCAAACAAGTGAAGCAGCTTTGCCAGCTGTCTCTCATATCCAGTCCTGCAACTGGTTAGTGTCTCTAAGTTACGGCTCTTCCTTATTGAATGGATATTGAATACATTCCCTCAAGCATTTACTGAGTTCCTACTATGTGCCAGACACTTCACAAAGCATCCTATCGGGAACTGTCCCTGCTCAGAACTGAAGTCTAATATTGGACATGGGCACTCTATAATGCAGGCATAGAACCAGTTTGGCCCTTCAAGACACACTGCTGTTGAGTGTTTGTCAATAATATCCATACCAAATGACAACTTATCTGTCTCATGCATAAAGTACCAAACTAGCCATTTCCCAATGAGCTACATATAGTCCACAGATATTGGGGTTTACCAAACTTAAGATAGTCACAAAGTCAATCCATTTTAACTTGGTTTTCAAACTAGTTGACTTAAAACACCTTTAAAAACAGCACGCTGTTGCCTGCAAACCATCAGCTGTTACTGCAATAATTTTTTTTTTTTTTTTTTTTTACCACGTAGGATGCAGAATGTGGAGGGTGGAGACAGAGACATGGAGAGAACTTCAAGATTAAAACAAGGGAACAAGGGAACGTATCTCAACTATATCATGAGCAAAATTCCTAAACCCATGAAATCATCAACCTGCCTAAATTTTATGTAGTTATAAAGATGAAATATGCTGCAATCAATCATTTGTAAATAGAGCTCTTTTCCTCTAAATCAGGCTGTTTCTGAAACTGGGTATTACAGGGACCTCACACATGTGTACATGCCCTGCTCTTAATGTAACACATGCAAGGCCCCCCCGAAGAACAGCACTGTGCTCAGAACACTGTTAGGTCCTGCTTAACACTTCACATACGGGCTCTCAGCACATGAGAAACAACTGGAACTCTCAACCTGAGGGTTGCTCAAAGTGAGCTGGGGGGAGTGGATGGGCCAAATGGGTAATGGACATTAAGGAGGGCACTTGTTGGAATGAGCAGTGGGTGTTACATGCAATCACTAAATTCTACTCCTGAAACCAATACTATACTATATGTTAGCTACCTTGAATCAAAAAAAAAAAAAAAAAAAAAAGACAAAACAAGAAGCCCAGAGTGTGTGTGTGTGTGCACGCTCATACGCGTGTGCACACGCATGTGTCCCCTAAGGAGTCACAATTACCTAACATAAACCATTCTCATCATAAGTATTTCTGATTGACCCTTCAAAGTCTCCAAAAATCATTAGGAAAAAGACTAACAACACAGAGAGAGGGGCTATAAATTAGTAATTCACAAAAGGCAAAGTGCAAATAGCTAATAAATCCCTGAAGATTCTCATATTCATTAGTAACCACCAAGGGCATAAATTTAAATGAAAAAACAAGCCCAGTAAAAACCACAACTTTTATCCAATGATTGGATGATAGATCGATAATTCTAAGTATCAGTATCGCATAAGGAAACACTTTTTGAAGAATAATTTGGGTATTATCTACCAAAACTGAACATAAACTTACCCTCTTCAATTGATTCTACTTGCCAACTGGCAAGTACAAGGATGGTCACAGTGATATTTTTAGTAACAGTGTAAAACTGAGTATAATACACTAAAAGAATATGTGGTCCTGGATGAACGCACCACGAACAGGAGAGAAAGCTAGCTCACCTATTAAATGAGTACAGACAAAAGGAACTACTACAAATGAGCACACTGGGCAGTGATTTCAGTTCAGTGAACATTCGCTGTGTGGAGCTCGGAGTTAATGACCAAGAGACAGACAAAGGATTCAACAGTTCATGAGTGGTGAAGGGGTTAAAGGAAATACGTAAATAATGACCACTTGAGAAATAAAGACCAGGGCACAGAAAGGTGTAAAAAGCTGTTGGAGTGCTGATGGCAGCTCTGATGGAGGTCAAGCCCAGACAGAGCTGAGTGATCAGCCTCCAGCTGGCACAAGAAGAGGGCCCAGGGAGGGCACAGCAGTGGGGAGGGCATGTGTCCCTGAACAGGGCAAACCCCATCAGAAAGTCAAGTTGGCGTTGGAACAGGGAGCACTGGCCTCTAGTCAGGCTGAGGAGTGCGGCCTGTGTCTGTGACAGCTCACAGGTATGTCTGAAGGCCCGCCTGCCACAAGTGTGGAGGCTGTGTGCCAGGGGCCACACAAGGGGAGGCCCTGGCCAGGCCAGGGCTGGAGCAGAGCAGCAGGGGTGGGGTGGGGGGTGGGGGTTGAACTTCCCGGGGGTGAAGCCGGGAGCCTGGCAGTTGACTCAGTGGGAGTGAGAGAGGGGGTGAGTCAAGGGCCACCATGCAGCTGTTAGCCTCAGGATTAACAGCCCCTCAGGGAGTCTAACACAGAACAGGGATTAGGATGCAGGGCTGCTCAAGAGGCAGTGTTTGCACTTCCCAGAAATGGATGTCACAGACTTCCAGGAGAGGAGTCTGGCATTCCAGGGCTTTCTTGTGGGGTGGTGGTGGCATGCTTCCAGAAAGGAGCAGGTTGTTCCATGTTGTAGCACACCAAAGGCATAGCACAATACAGGGTGTCTGTAGAGCGCAACCGAGAACTGCTCCTGAGGCTGGCAGGGCCTTTGTTCCCGTCTCTTTCCAAAGCAGGTATGAAGTCAGGAGTTCAGAGAAAACATGGAAAAGTCCAACCACATGACTCAGAGCTGGAAGGCAGGACGGAATGATACCGGCGGCTGGACAGTGCAAGGGGCTGAAGGCCCCAGGTGTGGCATTTCCAGTGTTTTATGGTCAGAGGATGAGGACGTAAGCACAACCTGAACTAGCCTGCCAACTGCATCACCAAAGTATTCAGACAGCATTAAGAACTGCTGGAGAGAAACTGAGGGCTAGAGTTTTGAGAAGTATCAAGAATGTGGAATGAGGGCTTAGCTTTGGAGGAAATTCTGTTAGCGCTAAATGTCCTGTGTGTTTAGAGCCAGCCAGCTAAAAAGAAGCTGAGGGGACAGGTGCCTACATGCCACTCACCCAGGCAGTTGGCAATCGTAAAGCCCCGGGAGGACAAGCACACATTAAGGCAGAAGATGCTGTGACACTTTGGGTCAAGTAACCATGTGAGAGTGGATAGCTCACTCTCATGGGGACATGGATGGTAAGATGTTGTCCAGTCTCATCCTGGAATTAAATCCAGGTGACCGCATTTCCCCCACTCAAGGCTGGGTAGCATGTGGGCCAGGAAGTGTACAGTGCAGAGGGCCTGACATGAATGTTCTCAGAGTAAAATAAGCAGAAACCAGAGGTCAAGAACTAAGGCTTCTATACACCCAGAAAGCAGAAGATGACACTGGAATAAAAGAGCGGAGCAGTAACTGGCAGCTGACAGGCCCAGGGCAGGCAGTAGAAGGGGCCGCAGAACCACTTAGGGACAGGCGGTAACTGTTATTAACACCCACGAATTAATTATATGTCTGCTGAGCAAGTGACAAACTATTGTTTCTATATTGTCCAGTCAAGTGCTGTCAACATGCAAATGTAATAAATATGTAAATGGTACATCCTTAAAAAGCATTATTTTCAATCATGCACCCTTTAAAGATTAGAGGTCCCCTTATCTGAACTAGGAGCCGGGGAGGGGGCCAGGGGGCTGTGTGAGTCAGGAAAAGCTGAATTATCTGCATTTCTCAAGAAGTAATTATCAAAGGATAGAGTTTAAAGTCACAAGACTCCATCACGTTATGAAAATTTCAACAAAGTATTGCTGAGAATAGGAAAATTCAAGCTCAGGCAAAAAGCTAAGAGTGCTTTCTCATGACATGGGACTGAGTGTGTATAATCTTCAGAGAGAAACAGGAGCAGAATGAAAATATAGAGCTTTCATATGTTTAAAGGTACATTTGCATTCCTGACAATAATTTATTTGAACTTAGTTCTATATTTTTATAAAGATTTTACTTATTTATTTTAAAGAATGAGAGAGAGAGAGAGTGAGAGAGAGAATGAACAGGGGGAGGCAGAGGTGCAGAGGGAGAAGCAGATTGCCTGCTGAGCAACATTGGGCAGGGGGCTCCATCCCAGGACCCTGGGATTATGATCTGAGCCAAAGGCAGATGCTTAATTGCCTGAGCGTCCCATGTAATAATGCTGGTGATTACTATGCTGCATACAGAATCTGTATACGAGTAAAGTATAAGAGAGCATACAAGTGATACTGGAGTAAAATGTTTTCACTATAAAGCCTTTATAACTGAAATAGTAAGGTACTGGCTCGTTTTCCACTCAGGTCGTGATCTCGCGGTTGTGAGACTAAGCCCAAATTGGGCTCCAAGAGGAGTCTGCTTAAGATTCTCTCTCCCTCTACCCACCCCCCAAATAAATGAATAAATCATTTTTAAAAATGTTTACTCTTGTTCATGACAGGAGAAATGCAACTAACTACACTGATACCATTTCTCATGTATGGGACTGGGAACAACATGGGAGGCTGGATAGCATTGTCCTATGTTGCTGGGGAAAACAGAAAACATGCAACTTCTATCAAAAGAATATGGCAATACCTAGCAAAATTCACATGCATTTGTACTTTGACTCAACAATCCCACCTACAGAAGGCTTTCCCATGGATGCACCAGGAAAACACACACACACATACAAAATCCGTTAATACTGGAAAAAAACTCACATGACCACCAATAGGGGTCTGATTGAAATAACCATGGTGACTCCACACAACAGAGTAGCATGCAGCTATGAAATGAGAAATATCTTTGGATTATATTGTAAAGGGATCACCATAATACACTGTTAATTAAAAAAAAAAGAGGTACTGAGAAAGAGATGTAAATATCTACATATTTATTTGTATTTTTTATTAAAAAATGAAAGGATAAACCATAAAAATAGAGGTTGCCTATGGGGGAAGAAGAGAATAAGTGAAGGAGACAGGATACCAGCTGAGTATACCTTGCTGGAGCTTGCCTAACTTGGAGCCTTGTAAATGTTTACATAGTAAAAATACAACATTAAATAAAGCCATCCCTAAAAATCAGAAGTAAAATAAAATAAATGAACTGCATACCTGGGTGGTGGCATAACCAGACAGAGGGGAACTCTTCCAAGTGACTTTAAGACACAGCAACGTGACTGTACATCCCTGACGGGTTTTACGTCCACACTCTGCCTTAAAGACAAAAAGAATTCTAAACAACCAAACTCTCTTCAGTCATTACGTTGTGGGAATGATGGTGATAGCATCGTTCTGCGTACTGTGGGATTCACCAAAGGAACAACTACACTGGGCAGTGGTTTATGAAGACTTGCCATGCAGCTGAAAGCAGATACGAGCACAGAGACAGACGAGGTCAATGCCCTGCAGCCCTGAATCGGTTCCATCTGTATGATCTCACGATGGACTTTACCTTTACAGAAATGCATCCTTCCCAACTCTGTCCCTGAAGAGCCCTAAAAACAATGGACAGCAAGCAGGTCTAGCACCCAACTGTGGTCTCTAAACATCAGGGGTCCTTAGAGAAACAGCTGCAACCAGATCAAGGGCAGGAAACGCACAAGATGAGCCTAGAACACCTTGTCACACCAGAAGGCCATCAACGTCCCAGGGTCATGTGAAAGGGGCTTGGCAGTCAACCTGGATTAACTTCCCTCCCCACCCCCAGCACAAATAGATGGAAACACACCATATATGTCTGCATCCATGATGCGTAAATGATAGTTTTTAAAAAACTATCACTTCCGGAAGACAGAGGAATCACCTTATTGAAAACCCTCTCGTTCTGCCTTTCTTATACAATGTACTGGGGAGCAATGAAATAAAATATAAGTTTCTCTTCACTGAAGCAGTCCAGTTAATGTACGAAGGAGGAAAGGACAGAAACAGAATGTTGCCATTTGGCAGCCCCCCATGATTCAAAGGGTCCACGCATCACGTATCACTCATCAGTGGCTATTGACATCACAGAGAGAGAAAAATAAATTACACAACCTCAGTGGAAGTCCTCCACCGCCTATGAGGAATTCTTGTCTCTCCTCAAAATAAGCAAAAACAAAACAAAACAAAACCCTCACAAACCAGGATCCCTGGGTGGCTCAGTGGTTGAGCATCTGCCTTTTGACTCAGGGCATGATCCTAGAGTTCTGGAATCGATTCCCGCATCAGGTTCCCTGCATGGAGCCTGCTTCTCCCTCTGCCTCTCTCTGTGTGTCTATGAATAAATAAATTAAATCTTAAAAAAAAAAAAAAAGAATCTGACAAACCTGGCATCCTAATTACCAGTTGGCAGGAATCATAAAGGTCAGCCTGACACAGTAAACAATAAAAGGGGATAAAATAATCAAAATTCAGGCCAAAATTCAGAAGCTATAGGTGAAATGGTCAAACCCCTTCAACAAAACATTAGGGAAAAATAAAAAGAGAAGGAGAAGGAAACTTAAGAGGACTTACTGACCCAGAGAAGCTTAACAGATCCATCAACTGCAATGTACAGGCCGCGTATGGGATCTGACCCAAACAAATTGGAAAATATACAAATCCTTAGACATAAATGTATATGGATAAGCGTTTGCATACGTCTCTCTACATATGTGTAATAATAGGAGAAATACAACATGCCTTGATATTTGATGATATTAAGGAATCACTGTTAAGGTTTTTTTTTTAGGAAAGCAATGGCATTGTGGTTTTCTTTCTTTTTTTCTTTTTAAGGAACTTAGAACTACATACTGAACAATTAGTTTATAGGAGAAGTGCTATGATGTCCATGATGCTGTGATAAATGATAAATCAAACAACTGGCAAGGAACTAGTTACACCTGGAATTGAGTGATGGATACATTTGAGTTCATCAGAATGATGAACTTTACTATATACATGTATGTTTTCCATAAGACAAGCTTTTCATCAAAATTGTGAATTTTTGCTAAAGAAAAAAAGCAGTTGGAATAAAGATTTTTTTCCCCAAAAGGTAAAAATCTGAGCTATCAAGCCACGAAGAGGTGTAGAGGAACCTTAAATACATGTTACTAGGTGAAAGCCGTCAGTGCAAAAAGGTAGCCTACGACAAGACAATCTGGAAAGATCAGCAGTTGCCACAGGTTGAGGTGCAGGGGATGAACAGAGGAACATGGAGGATTTTAAAGGCAGTGAGCATACTCTCTATGGCACCATAATGATAGATACATGTCATCATACATTTGTCCAGACCCACAGAATGTACAACTCTATGAGTGACCCTGACAGAAACCACAGACCTTGGGTGACTGTAACATATCAACGTTGATTCAGTCATTATCATGAATGTGCCACTCTGGGGTGGGGTGGGGGGGATATGGTTAGTGCAGGAGGACATGCGTGTGTTTGGGGACAGTCGGTGTAGGGAAACTCTGGACTTCCTGCTCAACCGTGCTATGAACCCAAAATTGCTCTGAAAATTAAAATCGATTTTAAAAAGTGAAAACCAGGATGCCTGGGTGGCTCAGTGGGTTCAACGTCTGCCTTCAGCTCAGGTCATGATCCCAGGGTCCTGGGATTGAGCCCCACATCAGGTTCCCTGCTCAGCAGGAAGCCTGCTTCTCCCCCTCCCTCTGCTGCTCCCCCTTCTTGTGCTGTCAAAGAAATAAAATCTTTAAAAAAATGTAAAAACCACTAAGTGTACACCAACTAGTTCATGACTTCAACTTATGTTATTACCAGAAAATACGTTTGTACCCATCACTCTGAGATGAGATGCCTACACACAGACCACGGTTAAGGAGTACCGGCAGTGAGGACTCACCCTCCCCAGCACCCAAAGGTCACAGATACATGCAAGCCCTAAACTGAGCCATCAGCAACCGCAAGAAAGTACAAGTTGCCCACCACGAGCAGCTCTGAGTCTTAATTTCAAGAAGGTGGCACAGAGAATTCGCAGGGCGGGATGACAGAGCCAAAGAAAGGCCTTTCAGGAGGCTGGTGGCAAGAAAGCGCGGTGGGATGGAACCGCAGTGGGTACTATTATGGCCGGAACACTGACGTCTCCGGCCTGGAAAAGACATCTCAGGGATCTCCACTGGGACTGACAGCGGAGGCTAAAGACGATCAACTGACCAGCCCACCCACGTGAGAAAATCTTCCAAGGAAGTCCTACAGGACTTTTTATTTTGCAGTTATTTACTTGAAGGAATTGTCTGCCCAGAGCCACCTTGGGGCTCCTCTTTAGTGCAGCCCGAAGCCGACCTGCATTTGCTGCGCCAGCCCTATAGCTGCGGGGCGAGCCAGGGGACATGGGCCAACGCCGGCGAGGCCCTCTGTGGCCACCGTGCCACCCAGCCTCGACGCTGGCGGATGCCCTTCCCAGGCATCTCCTTTCACAGCTACATCCTCCCTGTTGGGTCCGGGCATGGGTTCCCGGAGGCCAGGCCGAGGGAACGGACCGACGGGAGGCGGGGGCCGGCGGAGGCTCACCCAGTCCTCCGGGGCCCGCCAGGAGGAACTCCTGTCTCCCGATCCTCTTGACGATGGGCCGCTTCTCCTCGCTGCAGTAAGGAAACAGGTCCTGGGAGAAGCCAGTGTTGTAGTTGAGGATGATGTACTGCGTGGTCAGAGCCAGGCACAGGAAGTGGCCGTCCACGGCCACAGCAAGCGGCTGCTCCGGCGTCGACACCTCCCTGACGATCTGAACCCGGTCCTCGTATACCAGGAACAGCTGGATGGTCCGGCGCTTGACCGAGATGATGCAGACTTCCACGCAGAACGGGTCCCCGCTCACGGGGTTCTCGTTCAAGGCCAACGCCACGGCCCCTTTGATGCGTGCCCCTGAGGGGACGGGCTCCAGGCTCATCATGTTGAGCAGGGTGATGGAGTTGTCACACAGCACCAGCAGCCTGTTGAGGGCCGAGGCCGCTCGCAGCTCGCTCACGGGCTTCCGGAAGCCCAGGTGTCGGTGCAGCTGCTTGGTGGCAGAGAATGTGGCCGTCCCCGTGGGAAGCGCCCGCTCCTCTAACAGGAAGTGGTAAACCACGCAGTCCCCGGTGCCCACGTACAGGTTCTTTCCGCAGCACTCCACGCACTCGATGTGCACCCGCTCCTTGTCGCCCGCCAGCAGCTCCCACTCCACGGCGGAGACCAGCGTGAAGGCCTTGGTGCTCATCATGTCTGCGGTGATCTGTGGGGACGGGGACAGGAAGATTAATGCAAGGTAGCCAACCACAAAGCAGGACCACGTCGGGTCTCAGTGGATATGCCCAGTTCCTCAGTTATGAGTTCAGTGGAGGGAAACCATTCGACCCTGTTAAGAAAAAGCTCTCCCTCTGGGTCTCCTTCCACCAGGCAAATGGAAGACCTCCCCCCACACACCCCAGGATAGCACAGACACACGCTTTCATTCATTCATTCATTCATTTATTTATTTATTTGGCATGCACTTTTAATTAGGGCCAACTTGCCCGTTCTTAACAGAGCTGAGATTTACATGGAGCCTCCTCAGGTTGTTCTTGGGAGACGTACCTGTCAGCAGAAGACAACCACACATATTCACCCAGAGACGACAGAACAGAAATGTTATGGAAACAGGCAAAAATGATCCCCCTTGATCTTTCCCTGAGCTTCTCTGGCCACCTGACTTAGCATTTAAGTGAAGTGGGTCACAACTGCATCAGGTGGTTAAGTATTACCCCTGGATCTTGTCACGAACACTGAGGCAGGGACCACACCTTGAACCCTGTGTTCTTTCCAGCATCATACTTGGCTCCCCAAGTAAATGTGTTCATGGTAAAGACATGCCTCAGATCTCTACATCTGTCAGGTAAGGAGCTGAGGTGTCTGGTGCACTTGGGAGAAGGTCACTGACACGTCAGTTAATGGATGACCTCCACTGGGAGGCTGACTGCCCCAACCTGGGGCCCTCACCTTCCTACCTCCTCCTCTGAAGTCCTCCTCTGAGGACTCTGGTTTCACACTCGACAAAGTCAGAGGCCGCAGAAACGAGCAAGACGGCCTTTCCATCTAAAACCCAACTTAGACAATACTTTTTTTTTTTTCCACTTAAATGCCAATGAATTAAACACAGGTATTGAAATGTCCTATGTCTAAGACATCCTAAGTGCCTGAAAGCAAGGTATCACGAAATACTACTGCCTTCCCCGCTTGATCAGTACAGGCTGCCCTTCAGGAGCTCCGGAGAGCGAGGCTGCGATTGGGGTGTGAAGCATACCCTTCCCTCTGCAGAAGGCACAGAGGTACAGGCTTCGGGCCCTCGCCAGCGAACTCCCCTACGTCACTCTCCCAAGGTGTAGGGTCTTCCTGTCGCACAAGAGATAAACTAGACACGTTCGTGGTGAAAATACAGAAAACACCCATATTTAGTCTAAATCCTGGATGGAGGGAGAAGGAGAGAGGGGAGAGCTAGGGCTGTAAGAAAAGCAACTGGTTTATTAAACAGTGACAGGATGAGTATTTAAGAAGACGTGCAACACTGTTTGACTACATGGTAAGCAAGGCGACCCCAGTCTTGCTCAAGTTCCCCAGGACAGGACTTAAAAACAAAAGTTCAATGTAGTTTATAAGCAGCACCACGTCAGCCTCACGGCAGCTAAGATGTTGCTCCTTCTCTCCACCCTCTTCACAACAAGTTAGACATCCACCCACACACCAAGCCCCGGCGGGGGGTCGGGATCTGGGCCCCAAGGGGCCTCACCCATGGGCAGGTCCAGCAACAGGCACACAGGCCCCTGCTGCGGAGCCCGGAGCCACCCCCCAAACCCCTGCTGAGGCTGCAGAGAACCTGCGGGGCGCTGACCTGGGCGGGAGTACACAGGAGACAGGGGTGTCCAGTCATCCCCGGGGGAGGTCCCAGCAGGCCACTGGAGCCCACAGAACCAGAAAACAAGACAATCTGGGTCTGGTCACAGCAGGGGCAGCCTGAAGAGAAACCTTCCTGGGCTGGGCCTGCAAGGAAGCATTGCAGGGGTGCTCATCTGGGGGCGGGTACAGCCCCTGCAGCAGGGGGCGGATGGGAAGAGGATGGAGAAGAACGGGGAGAGGACGGGGAGAGGGGGGAAATAAAGGAGAATGAGGAGGATGGGGGAGGACAGGGGAGGATGGGGGAAGATGAAGGAGAACAGGGGGAGGACGAGGAAGGACAGGAGAGTATAGAGGAGGATGGAGAGGATAGGGGAAGATGGGGAAGACGAGGGAGGATAGGGGAGGATGAGGGAGGACAGAGGGAGGACAGGGGGAGGATGGGGAGGACAGGGAGAGGACATGGGAGGACAGGGAGAGGGCGGAGTAGAACAGAGAGGACGAGGGAGGACAGGAGAGGACAGGGGGAGGATGAAGGAGGACAGGGAAGGAGGGGGGAGGACAGGGGAAGATGGGGGACAGCAGGGCAGGAGTGCGGCTACCCCAGCTGTGTGGGAGGCATCTGCACAATTCCATGGCTCTCCAGGAGGAACCACAGTACTGAGGCTGGATGTCCCTGCCTGGCGAGAGAAGACTGGGAGAGAGGCCCATGAGAACCGCAAAGGGCCTTAAGGGGGTTGTGTGTAGCAGGAAGTTAACCAGGAGCTGTGGGAGCACCCCAGCTGGGGACCTCACCAGTGTGCTCCAGGCACCCCCAATGGACCCACATCTCCTCCCAGGGTGCAGCTGCCCCAGCACGCTTCCCTGCAGAGAGAGCCAGGACAGCAGGCCACAGTGTGCGGGGAGGGAGAAACCAGAGGAGCCTCAGAGCCACCTTCAGGAAAACTGAGGCCGGCCTTCCAGCAGCCACCAGAGTCTGAGTCACCAGAGAAGACGTCATCATTTAAGAAACCTGCCACCAGGAGGAGCAAGGGAGCAGAGCTGCCGGGTCCAGGCCCAAGCACCAATCAGCCTACCCCGCCCCCCCACCCCCACTGACCCCCATCTGCCCCTCCCACCCCCTCCTATCCCCACAAGCGCCCAGCTACCCCCACCAACCCCCACCTACCCCCTTCTACTCCCACCGACTTCCACCTACCTCCACCTACCCCCTCCTACTCCCACTCACCCCCTCCTACCCCCATCTACCCCCTCCTTCCCTCCTACCTCCATCAACCCCCACCTACCCCCTCCTACCCCCACCTACCCCCTCCTACTCCCACTCACCACCTCCTACCCCCATCTACCCCCTCCTTCCCTCCTACCTCCATCAACCCCCACCTACCCCCTCTTACCCCCACCAACCTCCACCTACCCCCACCTACTCGCACTCACCCCCTCCTACCCCCATCTACCCTCTCCTTCCCTCCTACCTCCATCAACCCCCCCCACCCCCTCCTACCCCCACCGACCTCCACCTACCCCCTCCTACCTCTACCGCCCCCACTGGCCCCCACTGGTTCGCAGCTCGAACACCCTCTCTCAAGGCAACTTGTAGGGATTGAGGGAGGTATCCGCTACCATAAATATGAGTGCGGCAACGCACAGCCACAAGGAACATGATAAACCAAGAACACATGCCACCACAAAGACAGCAGTAACTCCTCCAAAACTGAATTCAAAGGCATGAAATTTGTGATCTAGCTGATTAAAAAAATCAAAGTAGCTGCTCTGAAGAAACTCTGAGCTACAAGAAAACTCAGCCAGTTCAGTGAAGCTTTGAAAAAAATTACATGATCCAAACGAGATTTTACCAAAGAAAAAGAAATCATAAAAAAAAAAACCCAATGGAAATTCTGAGGCTGAGGAACTCAATGAGTAAAATGAAAAATGCAATAGGGCATCTGCAGTAGGGTAAAGTGTATGGAGGACAGAAGTGGTTAGAGATTGGAGGAGGATGAGGAGAAGGGAATAAAGAGTGAAGGAAGCCGGAGAGAGATCAACAGGATTCCACCAAAAGAACAGATGCTGGAACATCTGCAGTTTTCAGAAGAGAGAATGGGGCAGAAAATTATTTACAGAAATAATAGCTGAGAGTGTCCCAAACCTGGGGAGGGAAATGGACATCCAAGGTTACTGAGCCAACAGGTCACCCTATTATCTCAATGCAAAAAAGACGCATTATCATCAAACTGTCAGAAATCAAGGATAAAGAAAGAATTCTAAAAGCAGCCAGGGGAAGAAACATTGTGACCTTCAAAGGAACCCCATTAGGCTATCCAGGGATTTTGAATTTTTCCCTCACAGGCCAGGAGAGTCTTTCAACTGAGAAATGGGTAAAGGTGTGTGTGTATATAGGCAATGGAATATTATTCAGCCGAAAGAAAGAAATGCTGCCATTTGTGACAACATGGATGGGTCTGGAGGGCATTATGCTAAGTGAGATCATTCAGACACAGGAAGACAAACACTGCACGATCTCAATTATATGTGGTACCTAAAAGAGTCAAACTCATACAAATAGAGTTAAATGGTGCTTAGCAGAGGCTGGGGGTGGGGATACTGGGAAGATGTTGTCTAGGGCACAAACTTGGAACTAGGGGATAGATAATACAGCCTCCCAATTATCAGCAATGTGTTATAAACTTTACAGTTGCTAAATCAGGATCACACAAGGGTAACTGAAAGGTGACGCAATAACATTCTGGTACCTAAAAGTGGTTTACTCCTTCAAGCAGCAGGGAGATTTTCTCCATGATCTAATTCATAGGATAAACCCACTCTGAGACAGTATGAATCGTAAAAAGGTAAAGTGTAGGCCAAACCACTCTGTATTATCATTAAGTCCAAGTTACTGGGGGTCTGAAGTCAGAGAGGTTTCAACATGGTAACAAAATTGAAACTTTCTCTAAGATGTACAATTCATATTGTGATCTCAAATTGATCTGAAATTTAGCCTAACTTTTTGATAGAATATCACCTTAAAAGCATGGCTATCATTTGAAAGAGCAACATTTTAATATATTTCTCAAAGCTGCAAAATTCAGAGCTAGTGAGGGAAAGAGACTGAAAAATACTAGTACGCTCACAGACAGTAGTTCAAATAAGAATAACACTACAAACACAATAAACACTTTTAAGTGTGCAAAAAAAAAAAAAACAAACCCACTGCTCCATTTCCCAAGAGTATCCCAAACACATTAAGGAAAAAGGACTAGAAAAGTAAGCAAGTATGTAAAACAATATGTACTAAGGACCAAAGTTAAAATATTAGTAATGACTTTCCACTACATTGAGAGCCTACACACCCTGCTGGTAACATTAGAA